CCTGTCGGCTTCTCACGATATATACTACTTACCCTAGCAAGTCGCATCTGATCTGTTTGGTTTAACTGCCAGTCGACCGTTGGCAAGTTATATCCTGACCCTGCAGCTCATACTTACATCCCAACACCGCTACTTTTCAGACGAATTAAAGCTCTGCCCGCTTTATGCGACAGAGAATCAGCAGATTTTTGGGAACCTTGATAGCAAGCCACTTAAAGCCCCCAATCTCGGAAGGTCAAATTATCCCGAACACTCTCGCGCCAGGCTTTTGTGCCGCAGAACGCATTAGCGACGATTGCTGGTAGCTCAAGGCCCACATCGTGAAGTTGAGAAGGATAACAGGCATCCTCTTTCCCATCTCGAAATCGTGGGATTTCTCCCCCAAAATTTTTTGCCCTATTATACTCTTTCGAAGGTATATTTTTAATCCGAGAAAACCCTATTTTCGTCATCGACGTACAAAATTTCGCACCCCTCTGCAATCTCGGTTCTCCCTCGATCGGTTTCCAAGCACAGACGCCAGCCTTGTTCCTGCATCTGCAGCTGTCGATTGTGGCAACCCCTGTCTGCCTGGAGATTATAGCGCAAAGTCCCACGTTCACCTGTTCAACATCGCGACCTGCTATTAATGGAAAGCACTCATTAATTTTCAAACAAGTTCCGGAGCGAAAGTTACGTAGCGGAAACTCATAATCGCCTCGACTTTCTTGGGAAATTCGATTCATTTTGAAGATCGTTGTGACCTGGGCACCTTTTAAATACTGTTAGCACTGGCTATATCGCATTGAGACCTGGACCAGAAGTCCAGTTCGAAAGGAGAAGGCAATTTAATATTGCATACCAAGGGAAATATGTCAACAACCGATCAGAGATACACGTTCGATGAGAACGAATATCATTATAACGTTTACAGCGGCGGCAGCGACGATGGAAGTGGTGGGCAACTGTACTACTACCCCCATGATGTGCCTCTAGACCATTCTGCAGGCAGTTCAACAACCGAATCGATTCCATTTGGAGTAGTGACGGCGTACCATCCTCCCCCTCCCGACTTTGGATTCCCGCCCACACCGTCAGCAACGACACTCTACACCGACAGTAATGTGGTTGCACGAGGGATGAGGTCTCCAAAACGTTCACCTGAGATCCCTAGGCGGGTTAGCCAAGTTGAAGACCAACTTTGTAAGTTCCCAATCCTCTTTAGTTGCGTTGGAAGTCAAAGCTCTATATTTGTTTGTCGCTATTCACATTTGCCTGTTTTGTAATGTTTCTCATGTGGGGCTCCTCTGATTCGTCGGGTTTCGTATTATTCCCCTGATCCGTCACAGCCCTTCGGTTTTGGAAATGCCATCCGAAATTCAGCGGACACTTCGGTGCCGTCGTAGATGTGCATGTAGCAGATGTGCCGTTATATGCCAGATTCTCTGCCATTCTTTCATGCCGCTGTGGAGTCGTCTTAGGCTTGGTTCCATTAAATTGGAGCCTGGCTATTCTTGTCGGGCTGTGGTGGCCTATCTCTTCCCCCAATTCTCAGAATTGGAATTACCTGAAGCTTCCCTTCCACACATCGCGCGTCATGTCAGCGTGGGATTAAGATAGAAGTCTCGCGATGCATTTTTCTCAACCTAGAATTAGCACCTGTTCACCTGCGTTTTCGATATCGTGGAGATGATACGAGGCTGTAAAGTCGAGGTTGAGGCATACCGCCCTTCTCCAATTCTCATGGCTAAGCCATGCATGTCCCGATACCAGGTGCACCTGTACCAGCTTCGATGTGGGTTCTTTTTTCTTTCTTATTCCGATACGGGACTTTTATGACCTTTATAAAAGTGGTGTCGTTCGTACTAACTTCGTTTTCCCTGAAACTTCCCGAGAGATCCTGTCGTCATTATTTGTTCATTGTTCTTTGATTTCCCTGGTTGTTCCCTGCTTTTTCATGGTTGGATTTAGATTTCAAGATGCCTGGAGACATATCAGCTTTGGATGTTGCATCTTTGTATGGCTTCCCTGACGACAACGCGCTGACGTTCCCCAACAATGTAGTCAATGTGGAGCAGATATTACAGGAGCTCGTCAAGCGGAACGAAGCAATCAATGGGCCCCGCAAAAGCCGGAAGAGAAAGGCTTCGGTACGTTATTCCGTGCATGGTGTCCGAGTTTGTAATAAATTAAATCAAATCTGACTAGCCATTATTATCTTCCAGGGAGATGACGACTCCGAGGAGTTACTAAGCGATGAGCGAAAAGAGCAATTCAAGGCCTACCTGCTGTCGCAAATGCAGGATCAGGCCAATAGCTCCGAGTCCGGTTCTAGCGAAGATGCAGATTCCCCGGAGGCAGATGATGGTTCAGGTACTGCCGTTGTGTTAGCAGATAGTCATTTCCAAGTCGCCGACCCCCCGGTTCTGAAGTCTCCAGTTGACTTCAAGGCCGGTTTGCCTTTCCAGACATATGATGGTTCATCAGAATTCACAACATGTCTACCACATTTCCCTCCAGATATCCTAGAGGAAATCCAGATGCCCCTGAGGGGGTTCAGTCCGACTACTAGGATCATTGCCCCTGCAAGACCATCTAGTTTGAAGCAACCTGGCGATCATTATCTCCTCCAAGCTTACCTAGCCGTTACGGCTCCCCGACTACAATACACCTCGCCGTCGTATATAAATCTATGGTCAAAATATATCCCTGCTATGGCACAAGAATCACCGGCACTCATGGAAGCAATGCTTGCATTTGCAGCATTACAGGTCGGGCTACGGGATAACGACCAGAGATATCTTATGGTTGAAGCTCCTACACACTACCACCGAGCTCTTATGGCACATGGCAGGGCACTTGCACAGCACGAGTCCATGACTTCTTATGCACCTTTAGCAACAGCTATATTGATGGGCATGTTTGAGTTATGGTCTGGTGAGAATATGAAAATGGGTGTCCACATGTTGGGAGCGAGGGATATGATTGTTGCGCGAGGAAAGGAGGCTCATATGACGCCAGTAGGACGAGCTTTATATGCAGTTTTTAGACGTCTTGATATTGGTACTTCGTCGGTTACAGGGAACCCCTGCTTCTTGACGCCGGTATGCTATATATTCCCCCCAATCGATTTGTTTATTTGGGTTGTACTAATATCCATACTAGGACTGGTGGATTATTGATCCTATGGCTAGACTTCCAATCGATCACGAAGCTCCAACACTTCTCATTGCGGATGCTGCCCTTTCAAAGAGCACTATAATCAACTCGAGATTAACCTACGTTAAAAACTGGGCTATTCGAAAGCGAAGAGATCTATGGATTCAATCTAAAGGAAACGATACAGACGCTGTTTTCCTCGAGAAAAAGATTAGACTGCAAGAAAGTATTTGTCGAAAAGTTGGTCGTCTGGAAAAGATGATGGACGATTGGGAAGCCGATCTCCCAGAACGATTTGGACCTTCGGAGGATAATGTGTGGACTGGTCCTGATGGTGAGGACGAGGATATCAACCGGACTGATATCCACGTTATCATCCCCAGAAAGTACCCCCACTTTTCGATCGCCTTGGCGGATGCCTGGCACTATTGTTTGCGGTTGCAGACGTATCGTGTCAAGTACCCAGACGTCCCAATCGCCGACCCGAAAATTGGAGGGTATGTCCACGGAGTACTTCGCATCTTTGCAACCTTGGGTTTTGAATCGACAGCTTTTATGATGCCGATTTTGTTCTTCGCTGGTATGGAACTTCGTCAAAAGCCTCATCAGGACTGGTTGGCGGCGGAAATGCAGAAGCATATCGAGAATGTAAGATCATGGGAGAAAACATGTCACCTTTTAAAAATCGAACTTTGCTAACTTGAGGGGCGCTTATAGACGGGATTCCCTGGCTTTGTCTTCGTTTTGGCTGGTTGTCGATTCGCTTGGATGAAGCTTCAAGGCCAGACAGCTGGCCGATTCACGAAAATCAAGGAGGGAGCGGCTGCAAGGTAAATCACAATCCTCCCAGGCGCTATAGTCCATGGAAGTACACTAACACTGCTTACAGAATCGACGGTGTTTCCGAAAATCTATGGAATGCAGAGGGTGTTCTCGGCACAATGGAAGCCCTCTCCCTCTACGATTCCCCAGATATGGCTCGCCAGCGCAAGAACTTCCAAGGAGACCTTGAAACTTCCACAGTCATTGGTGAAGACCTCGAAGAGGAGGAGCCGCATACCAAGGAACCGTCGCTGACGCCCCAGCCGATGGGTGAAGCCGCGCATACTCCTTCCTCCAGGAATACAAGCGATGCTAGCGAGCACCCGAATAAGCGGGTGAGATACAACAGTTTTGCTGCTGAGAGGAATCAGAGGTACTTGAGGGAGTCGCCGGGATTGGAGGAGACGTTGACGGAGGAACTCGATTAAAGTTACATTACTATATATAGGCAGACACAGCCGTTGATTCTTTCAGTGGAACTGTGACCTATATAGTGGATTAGATTTCACGTTGATACTTGTTTATTGGGACAAAAAACGGAGGTTCGGCGGGTACAGCATTTGTCTTGTGTTACTACTGTGTTATTGTTTAGTTCGAAGGCCTGAGATGATCGTTGATAAAAATCAAGTTTAAGGGAGGGGTTGATGGAGTAATTGAGAGCGCCCGAAAGAACTGGAACTATTGGAAATATGCTTTCTATATCCTGATTGCACGTACGGAGGACAGATAATCCCGGCTATCGGGTGGCGTTATATTTGTGGGTATTTTAGCTTTTATAACTTTACATATTATTATTACTTATCGATATCTGTCGCGGGTTTATTGATCTACGCTTAGTTGAATGAACTAAGAAGTGACCCTATATCTCGTCTTTTGCTAGCTTTGGCTTTGTAGGTCTTGTTTAAACTTTGGCGTTTAGGCGGAGTGCTTAGTTTCTCTTCGCCCTGTGTATTAATCTCTGATAAAGGTCTTTTCTTCCCCCCGTTAGGTTCAGAAACTGCCTCTATCGGGCGAGGGCCGGTCTCTTCTCTGTAGAAATATACCCAGCCGCCGACCTTTTCGGCATTGGGGCTCGGTGACACATCTAGCATCACCCTTCTTTTACCCTCTGCCATCCTCTCTTTCATAATAATCCATTCGGCGACTTTATGCATCCTCTTGAAAGCATCCGAGCCTGCCCAGGGTACTTTCGATAGAGCAACATTTGCTAGGTCAGCGTTTCGCCGTAGTGCGGTCAAGCATTCTGGACACGCAGCGTCACCACAGAATGCCGCCCAGCCAGTCTTCTGCCCAATTCCGAAGTCTTTCTTCTTGAGGTATTCACACCGGTATATTGGCACCCTTATGTATCGATCGACTATCCTCAGTTCGACTACCTTCAAGCCTGGTAAACTGTTTAAATTGGCCAATATCTTCGCCTCGCCAGAAACAACCGTATCCAATATATTCATCAGTCGTAGGACGCGTAGATTATTAAAGTTAGTTTTGTTCGTTACCCAGTTTTTGAAAACTCTGCCGAGAGCATTATAGCCACTATTCGCGGGTGGGAATTCTAAGGTTAAGCAGACTAGATTTCGCAGACCGTTGAGTTCTGTCAGTTCCCAGAAGTCAAATCCACCTTTTATTGTAAGGTTAACAAGCCAGGATGCCGAAGGGGACGCTAGATAGGGTATATAGTGTGGTATCCAAGGTGTGCTCTCTGACATTGCTATCCTCAAATGTCGTGATGCTGGAATTTTAGTGCTAGTGTTACAGAGTTCCCGATTCCCTGGGTGAAAATCGAGTTCATGGCCGTAGACTTCGCAGAAATTCCGGAATATTGTGTATGAGTCCGCAGTAGCGTGGATTATGTCGTCCCATATTATCTTCCCGTAGTGCCATGGAAGGTCGATAAGCACATCTGGCGTCAGAGATTCGACATGTTGCAGAAGGGACATACGACACAGGTTGAAGAGTGTGCCTTCTTGTTTTTCAGGGTTTGTACGGCGGTACTTGAGGAACAGGGCCCTTCTCTCGGAGAAAGTCGGTTTTTCAAATATAGATAGGGCAGCAGAAGGGGTTGTGAAGGTCTCTTCTGTGAAAAGGTTGCCGGATTGGTCATCATATTTAAGGATAGGTCCGGATTTGTTGGTAGTAGCTGAGTACAAGGCAGTTCCTGGCAGAGGTTTTGGACGAAACCGGCCGCTGAATATATTTAGGCTCATTATATGAAGTAGAGTCTCGGATGGATATGATTGTGATTCTTAGGCGAGGAAGAGGTTGAAGCTAGATTGGGTGGTACCCAGTCAGGGTACGTCGTAAGTACGCGTCGCGGGGATTGAATTCGCTGGCATGAAGTATGAGATTGGAGCAGATAGGTAGTATTGGCTACAGCTAAGTCAAGCCCATGGCCGAGACTGGTTCAAGTCGTCTAGTGAGGGCCGTTGTGGCAATGATCCTGCTTTACTTAGTTGGTGATGGTGAAGGCGGTGGTGAATGTGAAGGATGAGGATGAGGATGAGGATGAGGATGAGGCGGGGAGCAGAGGTGGTAGCGGTAACAGGTGACGCAGTCGGCGGTCTCAACAGAAGGGAACTAGCACGGCGGAACCTTTGAGAACCATCCAAACCATTATAAATATAAACCGCCCATAAAGAAAGACCAAATTATCTCGAATCAATAGCCAACATCTGGACGACATTATACATCTGCTCCACAAGTTACCTCTAACAGCTCTCCTATCAGAATTTACTTGTTTTCGGTCACATCTTCGTTGGTTGCCATCGCTCAACCCGATTAGCAAACTCGTCCCAGTTCTTGGTCGTGCCTGAAAGCAAGGGTCTGAATCATCCTGCCCCGGTCCAAAAGCGCACGATTAGCACCGTTTAAGCTGTCTGCCCCACGTTGCAGCAACCACAATCCCACAATGCGAGTTAGGATCAGAGCCCCAAATGGTGTCCATACCATTACTCTTGAAGATGTCGCCAATGTTGGCAATCTAATAGATGCGATCCGGGAGAAGACTTCGATAAAGGGCGGCATCGCGGGTACGTCCCTTGATATAGACTCGACATACCTGTATTACGTTTGTTAATTCTAAGTACGCCGTGACCGGGACTAATATCAACGTATCTTTATATAGTCAAGCATGGCTTCCCTCCAAAGCCCTTGGATCTCAATTCTTATAGCAGAGGAATGCTTCTCATCGACCTTCCTGTTACTGTGAATGGTGAACAGTTGATAGTCTCGGAAACGGAGTCGCCCTTGAGTACAGAACCTAGTGTGGTCAAGACCTCAATTGGGCCGAGCAGTGGCCCTCTCAGCAACAGTCAAGGGACTTTGCTCAATCAACATGAACGAGATTTGTCGTTCCCGAGCGACCCCCCAAACCCATTCAAGGGTTGGTTCGGCCCTGGTGGGTCCTCATCCGATTCCAAGGCTGCCAAAACTTTCAAAGGTCAAGAACCAATTGTGCAAGTGGAGGGTATGCCTGGTTGGAGCTGTACTATGCGTGTGATGGAAGATGATAACTCTTGCATGTTCCGTGCTGTCAATTATGTTTGTGCTAGGGGTTTGGATATGATGTCAGAGCTCAGAGGGGTTGTAGCCTCAGTAATCCAAGCAGATGCGGATCTACCAGAGACCGAGCAACGGTTTACTCATGTCGTACTCGGTAAGACCTAGGGAAAGGCCCCCGTTTTACTCTTAGGAGACTGATTGGTGCTTTGTTGTGTTCTAGGAACATCGAGAGACAAGTACTGCGAAAAGATAGCTGACCCTAATATCTGGGGAGGGTACATCGATCTTACAATCCTATCAGAATACTTCGCCACTACCGTAAGTTTAGAAGTAGATCTCTGTCTTTAAAACCATGGGAGAAGCTAACACTTTATGTACTTAGATATACTCGATATCTGTTGATGATGGCAGCGTCGTGACCTACAACGAGGGACAGCCAACATTCGCGATTGTGATCTATTCTGGAATTCACTACGACTGTGTCGCCCTCACTCAGGTAACCAACGATCCTGACGACGATAGTACGTATTCCTCATCCGTATTGATTGAGCACTGCATCATGTAGCTGACTACATGGGAATATAGCCACTGTTTTCGATAAAGTCAACACTACCATGATTCTAGGAGCCGCAGAGAAGCTTTGTCGCATCTTGAAAAGCCGCAACTACGCTACAAACCTAAGCAAGTTTAGTATCAAGTGTGTGGATTGCGGAACTTTATTGACGGGGACGAGGCAAGCTCAAGAGCATGGTGCTACGACCGGACACTATAACTTTACGGAGTATACCGCCACGTAGCTGAGAAGTTGTCAATATCTTTTTTGTTACTACCATACAGTTTCTTACTTTAGGCTTGCTCTTGTCTCTCTTCTCTTTTATTCCCTTTGCGACTCGTCTAGGCATTCCGTCCTTTCCTTTCGAGTATCTTCCAGGCCTAGGCATTTTGTGTGTTGTTTCGTAGCGTCGGTGCAACTTCCAACAATGAATGATACAACTCTGATAACGAGCTCTTTCAATTCTCAATACTACTTCCTTGCAAGTGAAATTTCCTAGACGGAACTTCACTTTGGTTCATACAAATATCTATTTAAACCTTAAGTATCTAGGTACCTACCTAGGTAGATAGCTCCTGATTCGGTCCTTATACGCAAGATAGGATGTCGGCTTCAGCTCCCCAGTCCAATTCTAGACCTTCGTCCCGCGGTCGCGAAACCTATCGACCGACGACACCTCTTCGCGAAAATTCACGTTCACGCGACTCCGTAAACCGTTTCCGCGACTCTCATACTACTTTCACGCCAATTGAAAGCATAACGCCCTTTTTTGCAGAGCTCGAAGATGGCCTCAATATCCTCCACGACAACTTGATGCAGCTGCAGCAGATCCACGAGAATATCAACAGGTTCAACGAGAGTTTTAGTGCTATGATATATGGGATGGAGATGAATGCTTTCTGTGTCGATTTCCCAGAGGCACCGATACCGCAGTCATTCAGAAGAGAAGAAGAAGCTGCAAGAGAAGCTGGTGGGTTTTGTGGATGGATCATTTGGAGAAGTCTTAGTGGTTGTTAACAAGGTTACGGGAACAGAACGATTAGCTGCTCTACAGCCAGCTCCCAGGGCAGACCATGATGCAGAGACGACGTTTATGTATGACCCCTGTTTTAACGACTCATGGAGTGTTATTTCTAGATATAGCTAATCGATATTGTTAGGACCAACGATACTTTCGTAGATCAGCCCGTCACGCCCGCCGCATCAAGAGACCCGAAGACGCCTAATCGCAGAGGTAGAGGGAATATCCCAGGCACTACACGTGGTGGAGGGCGAGGTGGCACAGGAAGGGGAAGCAGAGGTACTGGAATAGCTAGGGGTGGTTCACGAGGGTTACGATACGGCACGAAGTAAACGTGGAAAGACGGGATTGAACCTATAACTGCCTGGTGTGGGATATAGGTCTCAATATATCTGCCTTCCCAGATTCTTGTGCGACTGCGTCAAACGAACTTCTTTACACCCAACATTCTGTCTCTTTGGCCTTTTGCTATTCAGCGTTTACATATTTGCATTGTCATATACCCCCAATGAAGTACTTCGAGGACCTAAACAGTGTCCGGAATTGGCAACCGGATAGTTCGAGAGAAGGAGAGGCATCTGATATTGCAAATGTACCACTCCAAGAGCGTCAGCTTCTAGAGGAGCGGGACCTGTTCAAGCTACTAGCGTGCCATGATTTTAAGGTATGCTAGTGTATGTCTCATACACGCTGGAGGGAAGACACTAAAGTGGACCTTTAGGGGGGATACCAACCCTACGAAGACAGCCAGGGGATCCTCTCCGAGGAGCCTGTGTATACTCTCGAGTACCTTCACCTTGTCTCCACTTTTGTCTACTTCTCCCACCACCGAGTAACCATGTAAGCTCCACTCAAAATAGACAACAAGACAACACGGATTCTGATTGCGACGAATTGCAGACCACCCGCACCATGGATAAATGTTATGCACAAGAATGGCGTTCGGATCTTAGGAACGTTTATTGTGGAGCCTGGAAGTACAACTGGATTTAGTGATTTATTGGAACGGGATGCCAATGGAACGTTTATATTTGTGGAAAAACTGGCGGGTATAGCTGAATACTACGGCTTCGATGGGTGGCTTTTGAACTTTGAAGAGCATTTCCCGGACACAACATTTAATCTAGAGACGACGCTCAAGTTTATCGAAGAATTGAGAAAAGAGTCTGATAGGCGGGTAAAAGGGAGCGAGATTGTTTGGTTAGTTTCCCCTCGAAGTTTTTCCAAATACAGCTGGTCACTAATCTCGACCTCGATGCCTGGAAGGTACGATTCTCTAACAATCTATAATCGAGTTGTATACGTCAATGGATTGTCACCATTGAATGCTCCCTTTTTTGACGTCTCTTCAGCACTCTTTACTAACTACCGATGGAACCCTCTGGCGCAACTTCTAACCACTGCGGCTTTGTCCAAAGTCATGCATAGAAACCACGACGTCTACATGGGCATCGATGTCTTTGGTCGAGGCACATTCGGTGGCGGAGGCTGGGGTACCGGTACTGCCCTTTCGGTAATCCGGCCAGCCGGACTTTCAGCAGCTATCTTCGCCCCCGGATGGGTATTTGAGAATTTCGATGGCCAAAATTTCGAAGAGAGAAATCGAAAGTTTTGGATAAACGGAGGCGCAACTGATACAGAGCTTATTTGCAGGCCGGTTGCTGAATTCGCACCAGTCTGGGAAGCTGGGACCGAAGCATTCTTCTATACGGATTTCAATAGGGGATATGGTAAGAAGTGGTTTCAGAGTGGAAGGGAGATATCAGCGAGACCGTGGGTACACGTCGGGGCTCAGGGTGTTTTACCATCATTCTATCCTGGTGATACAGACCTCTTAGTGTGGAAACTTGACAATGAGGTTGCCTATAATGGAGGGCATTCACTTCAAATTGTTCATAAGGCCGCAGCTGGGGCAGATGCAAAACTCTCTTCGTGTAAACTGTACCAGTTTAACATGACGTATAAACGAGACTTGCAGTTCTCGTTCTCATACACTCTAGAGGCAGCACAGAAAGGCAGGGTGGCGGTATATTTCATCCTAAAGCGGTTCAACGGGGTTACTGAGCGACATGAAGTTGGGCTGCCAGTACAAGAAGGCTGGGGCATCAAAACAGTAACCTTAGATGTGGGTAAAACAGATGAAGAGATATTCGGGACGAAAGTGGTGGAATTGGGAATTGCATATATACACCCAGAGGCGTCTGCAGAGCCAGAAACAACAATCCTTAGATTGGGGCATATATGCTTATCTGGATATCCCGAACCAAAACTTCCGGGGGTAAGCAAGATCTCGTCTGCTATTTTGGCGAGTGGGAAGCAACAGTTGAATTGGGTATTAGACTATTCAGGGTTTTCACCATCGGAGGGTTCACAACTTGGTGTTAAAAGCAAAGTAACTGGAGAATTTGCATACTTCTTGGTATACAAAGGGCTCGGGGAGCTTCTAGGAATTTCGCACTGTTTGGGGTTTATCACCGGTGTGGAAGCCGGTAGTGATAATAGCACGTACCGAGTTGATGGGATTTCCTTTGACGGGCGAGTAGTTAAAGGGGCGTGGTTTTAATTTACTCGGGCATACTAATTATATGTAGACATACAAATACTAAGTAGGTAGATAGCTTCAAGAATGAACATTCCCTTGTCTTCCAAACCGCGGACCGATATAACCCAGTTAAACTTCGGGGTCCACAGGATACCATTTGTCCCACATCATGCCCGGATCATATTTTTTCTTCAATTCCTTCATTCTCCCAAGGTTTGGGCCGAACACCGACACCAACTTCTCATCTCCATCGCTCACGAGAGCGTATAAGGTAGTCGCAGCGACATGAGCCCCAACATCAGCTATTCCCTTCTGTTCGTTATCCTGTTTGATCCAATCGCGAACCTCTGCAATAAAATCCTTGGTGACCTGCATCATCTCCTTGTCGAGTTCCTCTTTATCCCAAATGAAATCAACTCCGATTAAGCACCCTTCTCGTCTATTTGCATACGCGGTAGCATCAAGGGGAACAGATGCAACCTTTGAGTAATCCCGGAGATCAAAAAGTAGTTTCGAGACGGAAAGGTTCTCTGGGCGTGTAGCGACTACCTCCTTAAACTTTTGGACCGTCCTTTTGAGAATATCAACGGAGAGTGGGTAGCTAATTTGAGTAGATGTCCCGACGAGTCTGTTAAATTGAGGTGGGAACATCTTCTCGAACTGCTTCCAATCTGTGGTTTCGGTGTGGCACTTCATTTCAGCCCCGCTCCCTGGGTAGATAGGACCTAAGTCGAGAAGAGGCTGGATATACTTCTTGCCCTCTTCTTCAGGACCGTCGTACCAGACGAGGAAACCAGGGATAGGGTTGCCTCCCATTATTGCCGTGAACCCATTGCATGCGAATTTGCCATTGGATTTCATGACATAATCCTGGTGCATGACATTCATGAGCTCTAAGTAAGCATCGACTTTGTCTGGAGGGAACATGAAGAATCCGCTAGATAAAAAAAAAAGGAATTAACCAAATTTGGAAAGTGTGCTAGAATGAGTAGCTTTAAGACTTACGAGTAAACCTGGGGATCAGCTTTGTGAAGTTTGTATGTAAATTCGGTGACTAAGCCAAAATTACTGCCGCCACCTCGAATGCCCCAGAAGAGATCTTGATTCTCTTCTTCGGACGCAATCACAATACTTCCGTCGGCCAATGCGACACGAGCAGCGAGTAGGTTATCAGCCACGAGTCCATATTGGGCAGACAAATTCCCAATACCGCCTCCAGTAGTAATACCACCACATCCGGTGGCATTTACCGCACCCATAACAGGACGAAGTCCCACAGCCTCAGCTGCTGATTCAATATCACCAGCGAGCGAGCCTCCTTGTGCGACGGCGACCATTTTCTCCGCATCGACACTAACTTTGCGTAGATTCCTCATGTCAATGATCAACCCATAACCCGAACTCGGGCCGGAGTAAGTATGTCTTCCCGAAGCAATTGCAACATCGAGGTTATGCTCTGCGACAAATTTGACAGTGGCAGATACGTCTTCTTCGGATTCCGGAAGGACGATGATATTAGCCTCCTTGATATGCATTCGATTCCATCGCTCGAGAAGGGGTCGGTATTCTTCTTCGGGTGATTGTCCCTTTACTACCACTTTGCCTTTAATGCTGCTGCGCAAACTGTCCAAGGTTTCCGAAGATAGGTTGGAACCATCGACCCTCTTTGAGCGACCCATTGTAAATTTATTTCGTGTTGACGTTTAAAAATACAACAAGGTATTCCAAACCCGAGTGTATTTGGACAGATTCGGTTCGAATCGTGTATAAAATTAAAAGACTTTTTAAGGCAAATATATTAGAAATAAGGCTCTAAGCGCGGGAGAAAGAAATAAGGATTAATTTCTTAACGTTCAATCGGGTGGCCTTTTCTACATCTTTATATATCTATAGCTTAGCTTTATCGATAAGTATCGCTTGTGCTTGGCCGCCTGCAGCTGGCTGGCTGGGCTGAGAAAGCAGTTACTCTATAATATCAAACTGCAGCATAAAGATCCCAATCGAGTATGCTTGACAAGCACCTAAGTACACGCAACTGTTCCCTTCAGCCCTGCTAGCTGCTGCCAATGTCTTGCTTGTAAATCTTCCCCGCAGTAAGCATATTGTATCCCGGGTCCTAATTTGGCATGTTCGACGGCACATTTTCTTTAGAGACATGCAGCTGGCCAGCGCTGGGCAACTAGCTCCGGTCAGCAAACAAGTTCCCAATTCTCCGCAATGATAAAGAACTTGCAGATGTTTAGATTATGATACATGGAGGATTCCATTGCCTTCGTATATCCATGTTTTGGGCACACTAAAACAAGGTTTTGAAATATCTAGCTTGGTGGGGTTGATCCAGATTATGATCGATTGATCGAGGTTTGGGGCCAAATGGAGCGTTGGAAAACCTCGGTAGTTCGTTATCTTGATGTCACACAACATAAGCTACAGACATATATTAGCTTAGAAAAGGTCCGGCTTTGCCTGCAAGGCGGGTATATATTAGCTGAGGTTGGGGACACGGGACAGCCGTAGCTAGTTTGAGCAGGGGCTTACGTAGCTTCCGTGATAGCTGCAGATATCCCGACAATACTGCACTTTGAGACCAGGTTCTTCAAAATGCTTACGGTTAAAAATCTCGTACCGTGGTCGGTACACGCAATATCTAGCCTAACTCAGACATTTATTCCACGCCATGCGTTATGAATGTTAGTAATCCTACTTGTTCTACTTCGTTCAATTAACATTTGATATTTGAACATGTGTTCGATTGTAGAGTTTAGTTTGGATCCTCAGCATGCACATCCGGGAGGAGATTAGTGCTCTTCTCATAGCCTCGAGACCAGTCGAAGATTGAGGCATGCTGACTCGTCTAGATTATATTTCCCTGGATCCACTGCTGGTTACGGAAAACAACAAAGTATATTCTCGCTATCAATTTTGTATAGTTTTATGCTATGAAATGAATATACGTTTGAAAATATACGGAGCCCCTATACAACTTTTACTTATTTTGCCAATTGCATTGCTACTTTGTATTCTAGGTGTGAAAAAGAAAGTACCTAAGTTTTAACTGCCTGGTGCTTTGAGCTTCTAATAAACCTTGTTCGCGTATCCACACGTTGTTTCCGCATTCCATTCACTTTCCAATCAAAAATATTATAATACCTCAATTTTTTAACATCATCCTCGTAGGCAAGCTAGTTAATTATAACTCTGCACCTGTAAAAAAATGGTGATGCCTCTCCCATATCGGGATGTTAACTTAAACGAATCGCTCAATCCATTTCCAACGATAGTCTGCGGCATCAAACTGATAGTACCTCTCACTGAAATCCGGGAACTTTTGTTTGAAATCATTTCTTGACATCGTTGCCACTCGTCCGTGCCCGTTCGTGCCCCTCAAAGTTTCTTCTCTTGACCTAGCGAGGAATGTTATATTTGACTCTCCGTGGACTACCATTGCTTCCAAGGAAGGCTCTAATAGTCCATCAGACATCAGATACTGTTTCCGGACATACCCCCTAAATAGCCTACGATAAGTTCCTTCTAGCTGTCTGATTGTTGAGATATCGGATTCGTGATCTTCAATGTCGAGGAACTTGAGAGTGGGAGGGAGGGCAAGATTTACCTAAACAACAGTAGCATGTTAACAATTCACGTATATATTTTCCCAGAACAAGGGTTCAAGAGAGATATTTCAAGCCATATCGCTACGGAGGGAAGGGGCTTACCAAACCGTCATGTATTCGACCAAATGACAATTCTAGAGTCTCTAGTCTAATAAAACCTGTAAAGTCTGGTTTCGCAAGAACCAAAGGATTGTCTGGGGACACGTAATTCCAACTGAAGCCCTTGAGAGTCACCGCCGTAGATTCTACAACATAAACCAAGGCTAGGTGCCTAAGGCTTTGCTGGTGGTCGCTAAGCCAAGTTAATTCGAATGGCAGATCTTGATGGGGTCTCGGTATTGTGAGATATAACGCCTCCAAAGGTCTCGGTAATCGTCGAAACAATCTTGCGAACGATGTTGCGGGTGCGAAGGGGTCATCAAGCTGCAGGTATCTCAAGTTTACAAGATCCGTAGCGATCTCATTGACTAAACGACAACCGTAACCAGACATTAATAGGCTGAAGGCCTCTAGAGCTTCTAGATTTAGTAAGCTTAGCTTATTTCCTAACCCTGTCCGGACACAGAATGAAAATTCTTGCAGCTGTAACAACTTCAGATTGAGTTTATTTGGCCAGTCCAACGGGCTTGTTGGGAAAAAGCCCTGGGGCAAGCTGCTTGGGGGTCTTGAAAGCATTAAACGCATTAAAAAGGCATCGCGGTTATGCCATACCTTCGGTGGCCATGGGTCTGACGCTCGTCGGGGCCTGTCTGCCACCTGACTAGACTCGTAAAGATTTATCCTTAAAGAACGCAAAGATACCGAATTGGTATTAATTATCCCCCAAAGCGCCGAGAGATCGGCTGTGTGGGCGTCTAAAACCCAAGACGGCCATCGAATACTGAATGTCAATGCTTCGAGTTTATCGAGTCTCATAGCCGCTGCTTTGAAATTTGCTTCGTTGATAAGTTCCTTTGTGATCGGGATAGATAAGCTTGCAACATGGGGAAACCGCTGAATTAAACTGACAATGGTTTTTGTTTGCGGGTAGAAGATGAAAGGGGATGAAATACTACATGCATATATATTGATTAAGTTTTCAGACAAGGGGTTAGTTTGATATATATCACCAGGCCAGAAATACTCAAAAAAAGGCAAATTGGACTCACTCTAGCGCAGTAAGATTTTTGAATCGGACTCCACAATCGACAGAGAATAGCTCCACCAAATTTCTCGGCCCACCAGCCATTATCTGGCACTGTTGACAGTTTGGACGGGAAGGTCTCGGATAGTAAAACTTGATACTTTCAATCCGATGGCTATTCTCAACTATATAGTTTAAAAAGTCGCCATCTATGAGCAGATAATTATGACCTCCCCAGCAATTAGAGCCCAAAATCAGATTTTTATGCAAATACTCCGTGGCGATAGTATATAGCTCTGAACAAGTCAAGCGGGCTTCGAGGAGGGAACGTCTTTGGAGCTGGCGCACGACACCATGTCAGATCAGTAAAATTCGTGATTAGACCGGACTCTGCTCTAATGCTAATATCTAGGTAAGTCGCACTCACAAAGCTGGCAAGCAAGTGGACAGTTTCAAAGGGAAGGTCTAATAGACCCTTGCGGGACGACGTTGCGTATCGGGGCCGGTTAGACATGTCTGATAAAATATTGCGGGGGCCCAAATCGATAAGTAGACACTGATGAACTAAGGGTATACGATAACCGGGATCGAAGGTACTTGACCCTGTCAGGAAACGGAGTGAGGGATAGAGGTCCCATGGAATGATCATGATATCAGAGGATTTGAGTTTGTTCTCTACAAGTGCACGTGGAATAGTAAAGGAAAACAAGATTGAAAAAATTAACAAATAAATATGAAATAGTTTCTCTCTTTTCTTGAGATCTTTTTCTTTGATCGATCAATTATAGATATAACTTCATCGGCCAAGTGTAGCTATAGGATACATGTACAAGAACCAAAAATATAGCGTACTGCTTAGAAAAGAAAAGTTAAATCTGTGTAAACCCAACAGCTGTAAGTACTTAAGTGTGAGAATATGAGAGTATGAAATGTATTAATGATGCTTGGTTTTCTCCTGAATCGAGATCTGCATGCATCGCATTACAATATAATGATGCATCATCATCAAGATATCGACCATATTTTGGTGCTTAAGACAACACATAAAATACCACACTACAGTCCTTGCTCTGCCCTCACCCTGCGCCTGGTCTCGAGGCTAACAGTCCTTCAGCTTCATAATATGTAGTTTACATGCAGGCGCAAGCTAGCTAGGGTATATACATAATATTCAAAAGATTAACTATTTCAACTCTTTACTTCTGCAATTCGTCGAGAACTTGCAGAGGTATGTATACGTTTTGGGTACTACGCTCTAAAGCGTTTCGCTTTAGTTCTAGCAGCATTAACGATGGCTAATGCCGCTAGGCTATCAGTATCGTCTCCCGAGATTGCCCGTTTTGCCGCTCCAGGTTGGATAGTAATGGTATGGCCACCAGACCCAGCGGCATTAGCAATGATGTGTATATCCGAAGGAATGACCCTAACGCCGCCATCGAGGTCATCGACCCAAGCTGCTCGAGCACTCCAACTAGAACCGTCGTTGACCGCCCAAACAAGAAGGTCGGTTGTAGTGTACGGGGCGCTGACTTTGAACCATATGGAATTTTCGTCGTTAGTCGCGGTGAAGACCTGAGAGCTATAAGGGTTGACTGTAGTTGGGGTCGTCAGGAAATTTTTGGGCAGGAGGAAGATAGGTCTGATAATCGCGGTAAAGGTATATGAACTGTTATTCGTAATGGTGATATTGTCTGCAATTTGAGATATTAAAATGGGTTGATTTCAAATACTAGGGTAGTTTTTACAAAATAAGGAAGAGAGAAAGAGAAAAATAAGGTAACTCACAAGGGGGGCTGACGGGCATTTTGTCTGTTGAAATTCTTGAGATTCTTGTAGAGTGAAAGCTATCAATTGAAAACGGATTATGAAGCCACTATGCTTAAAATCGATATTCTGTGGTTTTTTTTTGCAGAAGTGAACAAAGTATCTAGTTTTCAGCTGGAATGCATATGACCAAAATGCGTCCTTTTATAGAAAGATCCAGGGTGTAAATCGCACTCTCATTCTTAAAGCATCTGAACACGAATACGAAGTTAACATGGAAATGAAGACAGAACGTTACCAGCCCAAAACATCGCGCGCCAGCCGCGTTTTTGTTACGAGTGTGCAAATATCAATATTCTTTGTGCAGATTATGATATATCTAGTACGGTTAAGTACACGTAGGGGGTTCGCGACTTCGGCAGTTGTGCATGCATATGTATGAGACGAAGATCCCTGTCATGAGTGCTCTGTTCCTGGCTATCCATTTAGGTATTTTCAAAGTCTTCCAGCAATAATCAACTAGCTTGGAAGTTTAGCTCTGGGTTACACATTGACTGCAGAATCCAACATGCAACGGTGACTTTACTTGCATAATAATATCATCTAGCTGCATTAGCTGCATTATATGTTCAAGCATGGACAATTGGACTATAAAAGTATGCATTGATAATCCTTGCGTGTATAGCTTCGGATAACTACACCCGAATGAATCCCTGTATACCTGTAAAGCCTCAAGTAACTTAAACATACCTGAACTTCTAACCCCTTTTGATGATGTGCTTGTATGACTGAGCTGAGTGACAAATTATTTCTTCACATCCCTTGTCTTAACCTCTACCATAGTACATGGCAAGGGTGTATTTTTTTCACATTAGCTTAAGCACTTAAGTTTTGCCAGGATCCAATAGGCTACATTTGTCTATCTCTCCTTGAAATACCCCCGCATGAGCATATGAGCATTGTTAATTTAAATTTATTTTCTTAACGTTATTATACTCGGCCGATATCATACCGATATGATATAGTCCGGTAGCTGCCCGATTTTCGCTTACGCATTTACCCGTTAGAGACACAACAGGTAGGGATCAATGACAGCAATCCTAGAGCTATAGAGCTCTAGAGTACGAGGCCGCGAGGGCTGAGATGGTTCCTTGCCGCATCGTCAAGTTCTTCTGCACTAAGTCGGGTGCAGATTCTTGATTATAATATTAGTAGTATACTATAGAACCTTTGCCTCCCAATCCTAACTATATCCCACCTTTAAGGCCTCTGCCTGCAACGTTAATGGATGTACCTTAGCTTCCTCCAAATTAAATTAGTAGGTAAAAATATAGGTGTAACTTCAGAGGCATGCGCCAGTATGGGCGATTGCGATTGATCCCCTAAGCCAAATAATTGAAGTCCAGGCCGACCCAGACCTCAGTACCTATATGTACAATTGCTGTCCTTGAAATTAAGAACCCAAACTATATTTATGAACACCAAGATACGAAGAAGCCGGGCTTCATTGAATTCTCAGGATCATTATGAATATTAAAATGTGAAATATATTAGTACAGGTTGGTTCGCTGCAAAGACTAGACAAATCGCTGTGTGAGGAGAAGGACAACAAGAAACTCGGCCCCAAGACGGATATATCAATATCGGGTTACAAAAGCAAAATAAATGCAAGAAATCAAAGTGGATAAAATTATAGATCTCCAAAGAGCCTTTAACTAATCATCAAGCCAGAAAAATGCAACACTAGAGTGGGCGAGACACTCCCTGCTTGCTATGATCACCAAACATTCGCCAACATTGGCTGGGGCAAACATAAAAGAGTCTTTAGGTCCGCCAACAGTATCAGCATTCGGGAGGGCTGGTGTAATAGCAATTTTGTTAGCTAAGAGAACAGGTTTTAATCAGGAAACTCTAGTCGTTACTTACCACAATTCCAAATGGGGTCCTTCGTGTTCCCCTTAAAAAATCCTCTTCTTGCCAAAGCGCCTTGATCACGCCTGCTCTTGGTTCCAAGTTCCACAGGATTACCATTTGTAGCACAGCCGACGAAGTAAGCAATACTTTTGTAGTCGTTGTCGGATTCATAGAAGCGGCGAATAGTAAAATCTCCCTTTTTATACAATGCTACATCTTTGCCGAGCTCAGGGTCTCGGTATACTAGGGTCTCTTGTCCTATATTGCAATCGTAGACTCTTCGTATGGTCTGTTTGAGTACATGGTCATAGTAGAGACCGATGGTAAGAGAGATGCATTTTTTCGGTGTCAAAGCAGTCAGGATGATTTTTGTCGAACTCTTGACAGAGCAAGACAGTTTCGAAGATACTGAATTTTCTGTTTCCGAGGTTTCCGCTTTAAAGCTCACGATTCCACCTTTCCCCTTACATGTTGACTTTTTGGTACTATCAACGAGCCCGGCTACCTGGCTTAGGGATACATGACCGGCAGTGTTCCCAAGGGTTGGGGATCCGGAATATTTGCTAGGTTCCTGGACGGTTGGTGTTACTTTTTTGCTACCGATGCTGAGACTTAATCTCGTCGATGTTGATATGCTGGTTTTACTGGAGTAGATCAACCTTGGAAACCGTTTGAGTATTGAGAGTGTACCTTTTTTCCGAATTAGAGCCATCCAAAGATAAATTAAAGTAGAGTCATATATACGTACTATCTATTACACTTCTTGTAGAGGTCGAAGAGGAAGATGCATGATGTTTTCGATCGTGCCAGTTTATCGAGAGTGCACGAGATGGGGTAAAATTTAAGAAGAAGAAAAGCACAGAAAGCAAAATGATATTGGATACCCGAGCCATGGTGCCAGAGGTTATGAATATATCGATCTACCCCCAGGCGTCTATAGAGGTGTATAATGCTAGGTTAAAGATTTTGGCCTCTGAAGCCGTCAAGGCTTAAACAGGCTGTAGGCTATTAAGGTGAAGTGAAAAGTAACGAGTGAATATGTCAGTTGGTATCTTTGGTGGTAGAATTGACCATGGATGCTTATGCCTGATAAGTATCTGGTTGTCACGGATCTACTGCTGGACTTCCAATTCTTATAGGAAAAGAGTATAGATTGCTCTAGAGCTTCTTGATACGGATTCGGCTCCGGAAATTTGGTCCACGACTAGTGCGCAGCTGTGGCCGTATATAGTAAAGGAATGGGGACTTTGGATTTAACTTCAACCGCCCTGGTCTGTGCAATCACTCCGCCATCATGTCGATATAACTGTGTTCATGAACCCATGCAGAGGGGCAGGACTAGTCGACTTGGTTGGAGATGTCTGATATTTGACACTTCCTTACTCCAACGGCTCACCTGGAAATATTACCCGACTGGCTGCGTTCGAGAATCATTCGATCCAAACCAGCGTGTTTCATAACTTCCATTATCAGAAGTTCAAGGTTGTAAACGTCAAAGACGGGCCCACATATGTACATCGATGCGCAAAAAAGGGAGTGGGGAAGGGGGACTGTCGTACATATTCACTTCTGATTTCATGCATTCATACCGTATTACTAGCCGCGTTTCCGTTTTCAAGATGTACCGTTCCCCTTCCACGACCAAGTCCTGTGGGCCGATTTTCAGGCACATGTTATATATATGTTATATGGTAATTAACTCGAATGCAGAATCGGGCTATAAAGTGTGTGTTGTTTTGCAATTAGCCCACGGCCCCACTATCACCAATTTCTCGTTCGGGTAGCTTGATTGAGCCTAGAAGAAGACTATTATCTCAAGGTTGATACCAAATTGGCAAACTTCAAACAGGTTGCTGTTGTGGTGGGCGCCCTCCTCTTACGACAGCCATTGAAGCCTTCCACGATGTCCCATGAAGCATGCAGCATGCAGGAACCATTACGAAACTTTGATCGCAGATCTAGGCATACATACAATCACATGTCGGCTCAGAGGATTCCGCTCTTGCATGACGGCTACAAAACCATGGCTGTTTGCCCCAAGCTTTGGTTCATGATATTAGATTTTCTTGGGTGTCCAGCTGATGCTCGATTCGAAGTCGACAGCAGCCTCATGTTAACGAAGCTTTCCGAAAGCCGGTATCTGAACAACTGATAGAACGATGTCAACATAGCAATCCAAGGGTTAAGTGTTTTATATAATTATCCAAAATCTATGTAAACGGTACATGCAGTTGTCGTAAGTCTGCGTCTACAAAACCCGATGCAATACATTCATGTACCCCATGTTCAAATCGAAGAATTGATATCTCCTAAAACCACATTGTCTAAATTAATATTCCAGACGTCGTTGACGTAGTAGAGGTTTAAATATATTTAGCCGTCACATTTAAAAGGCTTCTAGAAGTTCTATATAAATTAATTAGTTTGGTTTCATATACTTGCCGCGACTTCAAAGATCCCGTATTCGAATTCGCCAATGTTGCGCCATGGTGGATATATCGATCTTATAGTTAGCTGAAGATATCGGTGGCCAGTGTCAGATTTATACTTTATATCCGCCACCCCTGCCCGAACAAAATCTCCATTGGTTTGCCCGCTTTGGAAAAGTTAACTTGGGATACAGGAATCGCGGCAGAAAGGTACAGGCCAGGTGCATTTGCGGCTACTCAGGACCCTGGCATACAGAATGGGGGGAAACATTCGAATCAGAAGGAATAATATGATATCATGGTAGAGGTGGACTGTACTGGTTGATGATAACAGTGCTTTTGCTGTCGACTCAGTAGCTGTACTGCGTACTCTACTACAAATCCTAAATTCATGTTTGCTGCTGCCCTCCTGCTTCCTATTCGAGAACGGAATGAGACCGCCTAAAGATGCCAGGCCCTGACCTAGTTTTTCGTTTAAAATGTGACCTGGATTCGGCTCAGGAACCAGGAAACCAGCCTTGGTCAGGCTCATCTTGCACTTTAATTACAGGATACCTATTTACGGCAACTGAAATCCGGGTTTTAATTTTGATATCGATATACCGATATCATGGGTTCGGAGACCATGTATATGTATACAGGGACATAGTTTTATTCAACTACGGGCGGAATTTTTGGGTCTCATGGAGTTAATGTGATAATAGATAACCTTTCTCCTCTAGCCCCGACAATGCGCATGCATAGCCACTCACTCGCGAGTCCGCGAGATCGCGGCATCTATAGCTCTATAGCTATATACTGATATCGCAACATGAGTATCAGGTCGGTACATTCCTTTTTAACCGAGACGAGATATATCGATACAGGATCTTTTAGAGAAGATCGATTGTGTTTCGGGTCAAAACAGCACTCTTGCGCATGCGCGCATGCAGCAAACTCCATCGTCGTTGTCCTTGTAGTTTCTGAAACATCTGAGGATTGATTGGCAGTTTACCAAAGGATTCCATGGGCTCCAATAGCGGACAAGGTTTATTTTCGCGACACAAAGAGAGAGAGACGAGCCTCGCGCGTTGTCTCAAGATGCACACCATCTCTCGCCAACTTCTGGAAAGGGCAAGATACCCAAAATCGTGCAGCAGTGGCTGGTCAAGTCGTCGTCCGTATTTGATCATATGAGCGAGATCGTGTAACGAAAAGCAAACCGGCGACCTATCAAATTTCAAGTTTGTTCGTGCGGCATCCGCCTTGCTAACAATTATTTTGATATAGTGTTCCCATGCATACGACATGCATAAAACTTACTATATAAAATACTATATGTATCCGCGAAATATCGCAAGACGTATGTGGGGTGATATTGTCGACAGTCCAGCCGTTCCCAAACTCGTAGATCGAGTTTCTGCGCCGGAAGCCACCTATCCAAGTCCAAACTCTCTTTAAAAATCTAGCTTTGATCAAATATTTTGTATTTGTGTTTTTACTCCTGTTTTCTTTCGAAATTTCTCTGCCCCTCTTCTATCCTTACAATCTTTTATATCATATTACTTAGTTCAAGAATATTGAAAATGGCAGCGACAGAGATAAGCATCGATGACCGGAACTTGGTCATCGAGGTCGTACTCGACACTCAGTGGCTATTCGAGGGTTTCCAAAAGACAAAAGGCAGCGATTTGGTTGGACGGATTGCTCGCTTCTTCCAATCGAATCCGAATTGGAACGCTACCGGATACAACCAAAAGATGGCACAACTTGCCGGAACATCTATCGACAATGTCAATCTTCTCGAGATGTACTGGGGAAACTGGGGGCGATATTCGAAGTATTCCAAGTTTGCGAACGAGACCATCCCGTATCTAGGTCACCCTACTCAAAGCCAGATTTTTGTACCAGTATACATAGTTCTTTCATTACTCACCTTCGCGGTCATTGTAACGAGAATGTACTCTCGTATGACAATTGCTGGATTCGTGAGATCATATGATTACGTTCTTCTGGGTGGCTTCATCTTGACGTTGGCCTTGGGGATGCAAAATGCTATCAGTAAGTAATTCTGATTTTAAGGTAACAGATGTTCAAATTTCTAACACATCTTTATAGTCTTGTCTACAAGCAGTACGTCCATGAATTTCAATCTCAGACTCTCGGCACTCCTCGTGAACATTACTAATACGTCCTAAAACCTTTTTTAGCATACTACAGGGGAGTTTGGGATAAAACTTGGCTTGACTTCCAGGTTGAACAAGACTCGAGTTTATCGGCATCTATCCTATACCCTCTCACAGTAGTGTTTATCAAATTTTCTTTGCTTCTTTTCTATTACAACCTCTCAGTATGGAATCCACTAAGGTGGGCAACCATTGCAACTGGTTTCTGCGTGATTGCCAATGCACTCGCCACAATCTTTGCATGGTCCTTCCAGTGCAACCCTACTTTGCCTTGGAAACACCAAAACTATATGAATCCTCAGGGCGCTTGCCTAGTGGATACTTGGAAGCTCGAGGTTGCTACTGGATCAGTCAATATCATCACAGATGTTCTTATCTGGTGAGTAATTAATCGTGAAGGCTGGTATTAAAGGTACCAATGTCTAACATGCATATTATGAACTTAGGATTATCCCAATCCCAATGATCTGGAGAATGCAGCTTAGTCTCAGGGAACGGATCATTTCAATAATCACACTCGGTGTCGGTGCTCTGGCTTGTATTGCTTGCGCTATCCGAGTTCGGCTTATCAATATGGCGTGGTATGGCTCTTCTGACGAGAGCAATGCTTCCATAATATGCATTTGGACAATGTTAGTAAATTCACGAATTCATCGATAACCACATAAACCATATGACAAACAGACTAACAAAGATACGCAGTACCGAGCTCTATCTCGCCCAAATCTGTGCTTCAATTCCATCTATTCGTGCTTTGGTGCTTAGCAAGGCGCCTCAACTCTTAGGAAGCGAGTCTGCTGATCGGAAGGAAAATGTCTATGATAAATACAACCACTACGATCAATTCCCAGACTTTGCTAGTCAAACGAGCCTAGACAAGTCTTCTCCGGAAGTATCAGTCATAGCACACGAGCTCTTTGAGAAGCGTGCGGACAATAGAGTTTAATTGCTTTCTTTCCTTCTGTTCTTTTTGCGAAATACAATGCAGTTTTTTTTATGCTCATTGATTTTAGGGAGGCCAATATGCAGGTTCTGACTCCAAATTCTCCCTATCCGTGGTCGATAGGCCCATATTGTAAACCCTCCTAGACTTGAATCATATATTACAGTCCGTTTTATCAGACTATTTATAAAGATATAGGATGGTCGCAACGTAAAAATTAAAGGCCACGAGATCATAGCTATAAGTATAATTCCCTCGACATTTTCCCTTAGGAACCCGGGGCCGTAAACAATTTTATCCTTTGCAAACTTTGATTTAATATTTATGTTCGGTTTATGTATACGTGTAGAGATATTTATAATTGGCTTCGAGGCTCACTAATTGAGATATGCGAACTCTTAAGCTACCCTGATTAGTAACAGTAGCGTTTCCAACATCGTGATCGTGCATCAATCCATGGATTTTACGATTACAAGGGTGGCATCAATCTCGAGATCTCGGTGTCAGTGCATCGTTTATATTCAAACACAACTCAACGAGGCAATTTGCAACAAAACTCGACATTTACTGCGTTGAAATGGAACTCAAACGTGTGTGTAAGGTTACACAGGTTTTGTATCCCCATTCCAGATTGGCCTGGTTTCACGGTGAGATCTCTTAATCAGGTTAGGTTTACCTCAAGCTAAAAGCCATTCATTTGTACCTCAGCTAGCGGCGCGAATTTAAACTAACTGTTAGAGCTATCGATATCGTCCAACATAATTCTTAAATTTTAAGCCCTTTCGACATGTGTATACTTTGCAAATTTGTCGGCCGATACTCTATGTACATCGTCTAGAGGCTAGTATTCGATTCGATTCAGCAAATTTATAAATCCGGGTTTTGATCGGATCGCAAATAGGTACATCAATATATTGATAGTACTATAGTACTTGGTATATTGTAGGTGTCGGGATATCGTATCTAGAGACCTCGAGAGATCATTTTAGATAATCTATATCGACCCAATATTCCTTTTGATAACCCTTCCCAAGGATATCAATCGCGCTAACAGGGCCCTGTAATTGAATACTAAAATTGGCTCGTAGTCCTATAGCTCCGGGACCGGTGTTCTCGTACTCTCCGTAATACAGATTGTCAACCGGCTGAATACTGTCCCATACCGACCATCCTGCCGGGTTGACGACATCACCTAGGTAGCTCTTTTGGAAAACCACTCTCGAGAACTGCCTCCATGGTCGTCCAAGGTAAGTCGAGCCTGCTGTAGCGCTGCCGGCTCCATTGACCTTGCATTTAGTGAAAACATAAAAAGAAGTATTATTTTCGGCCTCCCTTCCATTTGCAGTAATCCAGCCCTTCCCGAGTGGCTCGATATCTACATTCCAAAACCAAGCAGAGGCTCTCAGACCAAAAATAAAGTCCACCGCCCCGCTCACATAAGAATTCGCATATATCTGACGACCTTCGTTGGCGTAAATTGTATCCTGCCAGCCGACAAATTTGCATCCGTAGAAGCCTTGGTTTGTATTTTGAGCGCTCAATGCCAAAGCCTGAGCACCTTCACCGAAGTTATTGACGATATTTAAGTTGTATAATTTGACATTGGAGGTCCATAAGCGAACGGTAGATGTTTGGTCATTATTTGTGAGCCCTGAGGTTAATCGGGAGAGATTGTAGGAGATAGTGACTTGGTTTCTTTTATATGACCGAGAGTCGCAGGTATATCCCTGAATGGTGAGGGGGCCGAGGAGCTTGCCAATGTAAACCTGCTCTGTGTAGTTTCCCGGAAAGATAAATATCGTTTGACCCAAGTTGTAAGGGAAAGCCGTCGTATTCTTCAAAGCAGCTACGGCCGAATCAATGCTTTTGAAGCTGCCAGGATACTTCCCAGCTCCATCTACGACGAGATCGCCCAAGCGAGGGTGTATATGCGTGTTAAAGCCGATGCATTCGGGCCAGGGCCAACCGACTGATCTTGCGGAGATACCGAAGACGAGAGCAACAAGCGCGAAAAGTAAACGGAAGAGCAACATGCCAGGCTAGCTTAGATCTATTCGAATGTATATCTAGATTCGATGGATTGAATCGAATTCAAATGGGAATTTATGGTGCCGATGTCGATTGAACCCAGGTGGCTGTGCGCACGATTGGGTTATAATATAATGTTACCTACGGAATAACATCCTGATGTACTTCTCTACTATGCATAATGAACTCGAAGACTTTCCTTAGAGATAACATTGAACGGACTTTGTATCTCCGTGAACTCTTACTCCAGGATCGATCTTCAATATCAGACCGGGATCGTGAAGCTTATAAGCCCAATTAAGCCGGTTCGCAACATTCACAACGCAACTTTAGATTGTTGTTATTCACTGGTCCGCCGCCTTGGCAGGAATTTTGAATCCGCCAATCAAATCATTGAACTTTGCAGGGAAACACGAGGATTGATATAATACTTGGCGTTCATGGCATCCGAAGATGAATGCCGGATTTTACCACTTGGGAGAACGGATCAGTATGCCTAAGTAAGCCGACTGCAGGTCTCGGTTTGTACTGGTGTATCAGATCTAAAGTTCCGCTACCTTTGGAGGTATTTATATACTAAGTCCTAAGAAGGTATATATAGCATTTATGCAGCTCCACGTTACTAAATAAATCTCTGATAACCAATCTTGTTCCCACTATTTTTCTTGTGAAATCTCGCAAATTTTTATATTTATGCGTATTGAGGAGGAAATATCTAATTGATTCTAGGCTTAGCTTTGGTGCATATACACAAGCCCCGAAATAATTGAGACATGGAAATTCTTAAGCTAACCCTGTAGAGATAACCCTGAGCTAACCCCTGGGCTGCGGGTAGGTTTCGCTACATCTAAATTGATCGAACCCTGAAACCCGAGAACAAGCTCACCCCACAAGCACACTTTCTTATGGACTGAGAACTAGAGCTTGACGTAGCAATGTATTGTAAATACATCTGGACGTAACTACTTGTAAGTTTGCAAAGGGGTAGTGGAACCCCGAGCGCTTCTCGTTAGGAATTCGGGATCCGGAATGTGCGACGCCCGTTGAGGACCCAGGGAGCGTCGTATATGTACATACCCTCGTAGTACTGGGCTGCATATCATAGGCCCAATATAGATGTTTAATGCTACCAAACACCGAAGCGCGGAGTGCGTCGTCAAGCAGAAGTTTCGGAATATTGTAAACGGCTGGGATGTTTGTGTAAGGTGGCATTCCGGCCAGTTTCGGAGAGTATTTGATCTTGTATCCAGCTACCAACCTTCGGATGTTCTAAGCATGACAACCGGGATGATCAATGAGTAAATCGAGGGCATAGCTGTCGACGTCTGGATGCTTCATTCATGGAGGCTCGAGGTGGCACGGGAACCCGGTAGCTATAGCGTTGGGTATCGCTGGTTGTATGTGAATAGAGAGCCAATGCAGAACATAAGATACGTATACAGGGCAGCTTCATGTATTGCATTGAAAATGAAAAGGAGAGTTTAGGAGCACAGTAATAATATTATATGATTTGACCAAAGAGACTACGCATATGCATGTATCGTGTAGTTGAATGATTAGGTCTTAAATTGTTTACCCGTATTGCAATGTAGTGGCTCTGACCACATAGATATATATTTGGTAATGCATGAGGATGGGGGTCTGACGATGTGGGCACAGCGAGTAGTCTCGGCCCTGGGACTCCTCTAATTAGGCCGGGCCCTTGGGCTTTGGCCGGGCCCGGGGTAACTGCCAATAGCTGGAACTAGTGATCACCGTTTTGGGGCCATGCGTTGTGGGACCAGAAATATAACGTATATTAAACAGGCTCAACTACGGAGTATATGCATATATGCATGCTATATATGCGTAAGGCCAGGCTCGCTACGGAGTTATGCATGGGAAAACAGGGTAATGCCTAGCGAAACTGGGAGGCTTTTTTAGAGACCTTGTTCACTGTTCTAGACCCTGCTAGATGTTAGATTATTTAAATATTTGGGAATGGGAATGTGTTGAGATGTTGTATTTTGGCGTCTACTTGGCCTTGTGCTACCGACACCGTCGTCATTCGAGTTCGAGTTAAAAGGCTTTTCCTTACTGGATCGAGATTAAAACTTAAATAAACTTGCTGTAAACCTAGAATAGATCCAATTTATTAAAGTCGCATTTCCTTAATTGATATTTCGGTGATGCAGCAATCGACAAAGGTTCTCTAACATTCATAACACCGATATCGTCAAAGTCTTCGCTTAGGCTGGTCTGGTTCCCACGCAGCAGCCTTGTCCATGGGAAAAGCTGCCCCTTACATGATTTAAGGGACGGGCCTTGGGACTTGGCAGAGGTCGAAGCAGCCAATAGGGATGCCTTGCGGGCCAAAACCTGTGTTTCCCGGTGTGGGATTAAGGGGTTGGCTGACAGGGGACCGGCATTTTCTTGACAAGGTCCCTTTTTTTTTTTGCGATTTCAAATGTCGTTCTGGCGCGATATGCTGGATGTTCATGTCGACGAAATGTCGCCGCCCTGGTTTGAGAACGACCGCTGGTCCGAAAAGGGCAAATTGCAAGTTCGAGACAGAGGAGAAGAAGAGAAAAGATAGGACCCGATGGGACCAACCAAGACATTCAAATGTAAAATGGATGCGCGTGCACATTCTTATATCGACGGTGTTAATGTCCTTGCTGGCTAAATTCCAGGACTCCCCACGTTAAATTCGCCCATGGTGGAGATGAAGACTTTTCGATAGTCCACAGGAAGGGGTCGAACGTATGTAGGTCTGATGCACGAGTGGCCCCATAAGCCGTTATCTCTCAATAGTTCCTCGATCGAGCAGAAGCCGTAACTTTCTTTCTCTTCCTCCATCACTACATTCGATTTTCCGCAGCGCTATTCTTTTTTCTCTCAGGCCCAGCCGATTTTGGGTCTCTTGCTCCCCGCGCTTCGCTTCAGCTACTCGCATAGCATTTTATTTGGTTGCCAACGACCTGGTTGTTTGCATAATTAAAGTCTCCATCAGTCACTGCGCTTAAGACGCCTCTGGGGCTCGAAATAGTGCGCCCTCAGCGACGGTGATCGGAGCAGGATATTGATTCCCTGGATCTGACTGGCCACGACTCGCCCCCTCATAATCGGCTGGGCGGTTGGCTTGTCACTTTTGTTCAAAGCCGCTTGCAATCTTGGATGCATTCTGCCGGGTAAGCACAGCTGCACAGTCATTATTATTATTATTCCTCCTCGCAGCAAAGGGGGTGTGCACACACCAACCAGAGCGGGTGCAGCACAGCAATATTGCTCGAGCGAGCGAGACGGGTCGGTTATTCGCAGCAGGAAAAGAAAGAACGAGAGCTAAGTTGGTTAATCTTGGTTGTTGCGGCCGCCAATCTACGGTTCTTTTTCTTCTTTTTCTTATTTTTCAGCTGGGCTGGTTTGGTTTTTCGGTTGCTAGTTGGTGGTGTTTTTTACCCACCACCGGCCACCACCACCGTCACTTCTGACCGATGGATTTCTCCACATCTTCATCAACCTCATCTTCCTCCCACCACCATCCCTACCAGTATAACAACTTCTACTCAACATCGCCAGCCTCTTCACGCACGGCGACGACAAGGACCCCGCCGTCTCACAAATTGGCTGCTACTCCTTTACAGCAGATTCATCGTTCGGCTTCTGCATCGGCCCTTGTCGCCAGTGGTTCCTCGCGGGCTAGTAGCTTCGGCTCTTCGTCCGTCAAGAAGTCGACCACATCAACTAGTCCTAGTGCTCCACCTGTGCCAAACATCCCTTCCTTTCTCAAGAATAGTAACAACAGCTCCATCTTCTCGAACACGTCAGGCCCTCCAATCAATTCGTTCTCGACTTCTCGTCCTAGCAGTGCCAAGTTGACTATCGACACATCACTCTCTAACGGCTACTCGAATAAACAAACCCAACATCAGAATCAGAATCAGAATCAGAGCCAGTATCAAAATCAGTATCAAAATCAATATCAAAATCAATATCAAAACCAGTCCCAATTTGTTTCCGACACTGGATTTTTTGCTACCAATCAATTTGCCTCATCGACGGCATTATCGTCCAATAGAAAAGTTTCCGTCAGCAGGGATGGAAACTTGAATAACATTGGAAGCGGTACCGGACATCGCAGAGATCAAGATCGACACGAATTACATACTGGGTTTCGGGACTCATTAGTTGATAATCTCCTTCTCGATTTCGACAAGCTTGGCCAGGACTTCTCATGCGACCCTGTCTTTGATAAATTCCTGGATCCCTATTACCACGATCCCGACCACGTTGTTGTTGGACCTGGCCAGGGGGTCTCTTACTCTTACCGGGATTCGGACTACGGCCGAAGCCAACTTCAGAGTCGACACAGTCAAAGAAAGCGATCTGATAGCAATCCCGTTAGCTATCGCCGCTTCTACGACGCACCCCAGTCGCCTAAGCAAGGCTACTTACGAGAGGAGGACGAATTATTTGAACACAATAGCACACTAGTTTACACGTCTGACGGCCGGTTTATCACCACACCCCCTCAATCGCGTCGTGGCCCCCCTCCAAGCCGCCAACAGACTTACTCATTCGAACCATTCAGTGACGCAGCTCCGACACCAAGAATATCAAACAGGTCTCGTGCAAGGGAGCCAGAGATTCCCAGACAGCCCAACCATCTCCAACGAAAAAGATCAACGAGATCAAATAAAAGCCTAAGACGTACAACAGACATCATGGCTGAACAATCTACGCTTCCAACAATACCTTCTGAGATGGCTCATACAGAGGCAGTAGCGACACCTCCTAAACCGGCCTCTAAACCAGGGTTCTTCAGAAGAGTATTTGGGGGAGGAGGAGGTGGTGGTAGTAGTGGCGGCGGCGGCGGTGGTGGTGGTGGTGGTGGAGGAACTAGTCTTGCGAAACCAATACCGCCACCAGCCCCAGTACAGCCAACCATTTCAGATACAGATCGACCTATAGATGGCGTTAAACGACAAGCATCAGTTATTGTCAACGCTGTTTCCGATGTACCTGAGCAAGTGCCTCCAAAGACGCCCCAATTGGTGACTAAGAAATCATCCGGATTTTTCAGGCGCCGGAAGAGGTCTGTCTCAGAACACGACCCTGTGCCCATGCTACCAAGCAATATTACACACCACCACCGAGGATCAGAACCTCACCTTTCTCATTCACAAAATCAATCAGGCAATACCCGACCGGATACTGCGATCAGCCGTTCACAAAGTAGGGCACAGGACTATCATCACGACCGAGAGGCTTCTGAGGCGGGTGTCGCTCCTAACGTTGTGACATCTTCACCCAGCAACAGAAATCCTTCTGGGACTCGATCTCGACGTCTCACGATCAGGAGCATCGAGTCTGAACTACCCAACCGAATTGTCACAGACAAGGGAATTGATCCTACTCCAGAGAAAATCACGACCGCCGCTAATATCAACATTGACGATCTCGCCGCCGCTTCATCTACTACGAAGGACATGTACGCACCACCGAGAGGCGAACCGACTCCTATTCAGAAACCAATTGTGGATTTATCACAACCGAAGCCACATCCGCACTTTGAAGGAACATTTCTACAGGACGACGACAGTGACTCCGGTACCGAAACTAATGGTAACTGCACAAATATCACGGAAAACCCAAGCAAGTCGCTCGAGACCGAAAGAACAACGTCGACAGGAGATGTCTTTTATGACGCTCTCAGTAGCGCCGGAAGAAACAACTCTGTTGCCGAGTCTAAAGAATCCGCAGCCATGATGCCAGTTGTTGTATTACCGCAGTCTGAAGATGACGAGAAACGGGGAAACACAGCTGCAAACTCACAAAAGATTCTTCGTGCAATGGAAGAAGAGCATGAAGGCCAGCCATCACAAGAGGAGAAGGAAGCCGCTCGGAAAATATTCGAGGGGGATGAAGATTTTTTGCCAAAAGCCAAAGCGGCAGCTTTTTTGGGGGAGGCGTAAGTATAGTAATCCTAATGTGTTCATGATCGCCAAGCTTACATATTTTCTAATTAGTGGAGCCCCAAGTTCCCGCATCCGTACGGCCTATATGGCTTTGCATGACTGGACTGGCGTAAACATCCTCATTGCATTTCGCGGGCTTTGTGAAAAACTCGTACTGAAAGGAGAAACTCAGCAAGTTGACAGAATTGTTTCCGCGGTCGCTAAGCGATGGTGCGATTGCAATCAAAATCACGGGTTTAAGAATGTTGATGTTGTTCATACCATTCTGTACTCGATTCTCCTTGTCAATACGGACCTCCATATCGCCGATCTTACGTCGTCACAAAGGATGACAAAGGCCCAATTCGTAAAGAATACCATAGCAACTATTAAGCGAGGCCTTTCCGTTGACGAGAACGACAATCCTCGGGATATCGCAAGATGCCAGACCCCATACGAGTTGGACGAGCCTGATGACACCCACCACATTAGCACAGGTGGCGGCCTGAGCAAGAGACTGTCTTTCATTCGGGGCCCTGCTGCTGTTCAGCGGTTTTTCGATGACCAATCTACCGAAAATTTTGCCTCGGTCGATGGTAATGGCACTGGTGGGGAAAATGGTGGCCCTCTCATTAACGCACCGTTCCTCGGAAATGCTCGACAGTGGGAACACACGGTGGAATTGATTCTAAAAGATTTTTACGTTTCAATCAGGGCAACTGCGCTCCCTCTTCACGGTGTGACTGGCAATGAGAGATCCCCTGATAGCGCGACAGTCCCGACGAGTTTAGGGAAAGAGCTTCGCAGGACCAATAGTACGGTTAGCAAAGCTCCGTCCGAGAGCTCCATGTCGATGCGTTATGGTGGAAGCTTCGGATCAAGCATCGGAAACAACAGCACGACAAGACTTGGATCAAAGTGGAAAAACAATCGATCGCGGCCTCGTCTTTATCCTGGTTCTTTTGCCGGCTCCTCGCGTACTAGCTTTGATGATAGACTCTGGAGTCCTTCAGCATCCAGCACATGGAGCAAGTATTCTCTAGACAAGACAGCAACTACGATGATGTCTACTGACTCGCTTGGATCAGGTTTTGGTCAAGGCGACTATATGCAGAGTATAGGATTTGCAAATGCCTTGTCCACGGCCATAATCCGTGAGGAAACGGGCTATAGTGGATTGCCATCTGATGATGGCGAGCACAGCATTCAACAGACCGTTCTTGATGACGATGTCGATGAGCTGGCCTTGTATGGTGCTCCGTGGGCCAAGGAAGGAATGATTAAGCATAAGCATCACCTCGAAGCTGCTGACAAGAGGGCTAAGAACCGCGGTTGGGTCGAGTGCTTTGCTGTCGTCGAAAAAGGATGGATGAGGCTATTCCTTTTCTCAAGTGACAAAAAGAAGGTCACGCAGGGTATTGTCGGGGGAGGAAATTGGATGGAAAATGCCGAGCCAATTGGTTCCTTTATGCTGAGGCAGACTCTTGCTTCGGCGCTCCCACCGCCAGGGTACTCCCGCTCAAGACCACATGTCTTCGCTTTATCGCTCCCTAATGGTGCGGTCCACCTTTTCCAGTGTGGAACTGCGGATATTGTGAAGGAGTGGGTTAGTACTGCCAACTATTGGTCCGCCCGCCTATCGAAGGAACCCCTAGTCGGAGGTGTTAGCAATATCGAATACGGATGGAATAATTGCGTTGATATTGAAGCTTTGGCATCTCAGCCGCCCCCAACTAGCGGTCATCAACCACGCCCGAGCTTTCAGGGTAGCATGAGGAGCTCGATGGATCACCATGGTGGCTTTAGGGCCAGACTTCCGGGCGATAAGGCTAATATTGCTGATTGGAGTCCTCCTGCCCAAAGTATGTTTGCCAGCCCGCTGTCGGAAGCAGAGCAATTCCGGGCTTTGGAAGCATATGTTTCGAGCATCGAAGGTGATCTCCAGAGGCACAATGAGCTCCGAGGAGCAATGTTACTAGCTGTAAGTTCTCGAATATCACACCCTACTTCGCTCACTCCCATTTACTAACATCTGTGGCTACAGTTCACTCCGAGACACCCAAACTACAACAAGGCGATGAACAACTGGGAGCGCAAGTCCAGCTATTTGCTCAAAGAAATAGTCAAATTTCGAACCTACATAGATGTCTTATCTTTTGCTGCTATTTCGAAGGATAGGATATTCAAAGAGAAGGAGCAGAGGGCGCTCGAATTAGCAGCGGGAAAGGCAGAAAGATTGGCCGAACTCTCCAATTTACCCGACACATCGGCGGGAATACAGGCATAGGTTCTTAGAACCGTCACTCCTCATTAAATGGCATCGGCATCGGCAGCGTCTCTTTACAACCGTTTCCTTTGCGGGTTTTATATGGTTTCTTCTTTTTCTTTTCTTTTCTTTTCTTTTCTACCATCGGCGTTCTTACGAATAGCGGTCTCTTTTCCCGCTTTTTTACTCAATCTGCTTTGCGTTTCTGAATAGATGCCTGGGGGGGTTGTTTCAATCCGCGGCATCTTTGGCACGATTTTTTTCCTTTCAGCGCTGAATGGTCATTTTTGGTGTAAAAAGCAATACTTATGTCTACACGTTGTAATACGAGCGTTCATTGCTCCCCTTCTTCTTCTTTCACCTTTTTCTTTCCTTCTTGTCTTTTACATAGCGGATCACTTCTGTTCTCCTTTTGTTTGTTTGTTTCACCATAGTTGGGATCCTTGATGATGGCGATTCTTGTTGCATCACGCACCCATTATTATATCCAACCTTACGCCCTTACGAGCGTTTTTGATATTAGACCACGCAACCGTTCATGCGTCTTTACACATGTTCCCCCATTATTTTCTCTTGATGGCTATTTATCAGCTAACATTAAGATATCCCTTGTTGCGTTTCTTCCAGCGTGTCCATTGCTAGTCGGTTCGAAGACTCCATAAGACAGCTTGATAGTACATCGGTGATAGTCCGAAATGAATAATTCAATGAACCTTTCAAGTTTCTGCACACGAAGTTTGCCAATAGCTAGATTGAGGCCAAACAAGCTAGATTCAGATGACAGACACTTAAATAGTAGTTGAGTAATTATAACAGGTGTATATCATATCTGGGCTCAAATCCAACCCCAAATCCACCTGAGGATACCGTATATGGCCATATGGGTTCGATTCTAAGCCAAGTTGAAGCAGTTCCTGTGACGCACCCGGAATACAATAGTATCGAATCCTCCAGCGCAGTGTAGATGTTACTGCTTGTAACGGCCCGGTGACCAGATCAGTACTTGCCAGTCATTGCGAGGAAGTGTTTGACCAGCCTGCAGTCCCCAGAATAGAAGCTTGCATGGGTCCACTAATATTAACAGAGCTCAAGAGGGAGAGAGCTGACCACCAGCTACTTAATTCAAGCACTTAGCCGGCACTCGTAGCTTGAATTCACCGACTCCATCGAAATAAAAGAGGTCATTGCATATCCCGGATACAGCTCTCGCACAGCCATCTGCCAGTCCAAGACATCTACCGATCCTCCAGACTCCAGCCAAGTGATCCAGACCGCTTTTGAGATCCAACCCAGGCTGCAAGGTCCCACGGCCGAGGTAAGACCCCCGGCTTGTCCACCCTGCAGGCGCAGGCTGCCTCCTAGGTCATGAGAATGCGACTAACCGTGACCATAGTTCCACATATATCTTAATCTTTTGCCTTACTGCAGGTAGCTCTCTGGCACATAAAAGGCCTCCTTGATTGGTGAATTATCGGCTGTGTTCAAAAGTACAACATCAAAACACAACTTGCAACTTCGGCGCTCAATCTTTTCCGTATCCTTTCAACTTGCAACATACTAATCGACTCGAATCGCGCTTCTCTTGGTATCTCCCGGAAGGAGCTTCCTAGCGATCGAAACTTCCATTATACACCGGACTAGACTACCTGTTAATTTTATTCTTTCGAGCACATACGACCCATCAGTCGGGAATAGGATTCCTTGAAATAAAATTAAAACAAAAAAAATTAAAAAATTAAAAAAAAACCAAACTCTGCACTGGTCCCTCACTATACATGGCCTTCGAAGTCGACATTGATAGACAAGCATCTCGTATAAGAGCTCTGAGCGACACATCTTCGATCCCACCCTACATCCCCGTCGCATCCCCGTCCGCTAAACGGAAACGAGACGTTCTCCTCTACATTACTCCAGTATCTACGAATTCTTCGTTCAATAGCTCTTTGGCTACTTCTTTTGGGAGCGACGGGTCGTGTGACGGGGGTGGGAAGGCAGCGGCTAGACCCAGGGTGGATAGTGAGGATATGAAACATGGAGCCGCTAGTACAGGAATAATGTCAAGCCCACCACAGTCGGAGGCTCCATCACCTCGAACTCGAGTCGCCAACAAACTCGAGGGGTTGAATCTTAGTAGCAATGACGATGGAAATGAGCCGTCAAAAGCTGCGAAAACAATAAAGGCTTGGAGAAGGCCTGGCGGGCTAAGCAAACTAACGGGCCTACCAGAATCAAAGGCAAATGGAAACGACAGTAATAAGACCGATATATCTATGACGGTGGGAGAAGATGAAGACTCGGATCCCACCAGGACGCCTAGAAAGAAGAGAGTAGTGATATCTAACGCTGATGTTGATAAGAGCCCAAGAGATGTTACCAGCACGCCGAAGAAATGGAAGAGTAAAGGGAAGATCATGTTCAAGGAGCCTGACGAGCTAGAAATGACGACTTCTGATGAGTCTTCGACGAAGTCTACGCTACATAGGGACGAGTCGGACATCCCACTCGTCAGTACTGGTTTAGATGAACCCGTTACCTTTGTTGGGAGCTCTAAACAGGCCCAATCCTCGAGAAGGAGGTTAAAGAGTCCACCACCTATCATAGAACAAAACGACGAAGCTCAGCGGCCTGCTGGAGAGCTAGATACAGATTCGGATCCAGACGAGACAGGAATTGGGTACCGGCCAACAGCCCAACAGCGCGAGATACGCAACCAAAAGCGAATGCAGCAGGTATGTGAATAAAATTCTAATGGTCAACTGCACAAGTACTAACGAACTCTATAGATTAAAGAATACAAAGCACGGGAATCGAGAGAGGCTCGCGCGAAACGGACAGCTGAAAGACGGCGAAGAAATGTGACCGATAGGGGGGAATCTGCCACTTCTTCTGCATCGAGTCTTCTCCCTACAGCCCCACCTGAAACCGACGAAATGGTTGATGTTCAAAACTCCGGTCCTGGAAAACGGGTTCACTTTGCGGACTGATTACTTTGTACTTGTCTCACCCGGGCCTTACACCGCTCTCACGCATGAACCAACTTACCGGCCACAATCATATTCCCAGGAGAAACAACATACACGCACTAATAACATACATGGCCTTTAGTTTTCTTGTCTTCTAAGAGCTTTTCTGCATACCATTTTGTTTTCAGTTTTTGTGGCATTAAATGCTTTTTTTTGTTCACGAATTTCTTTATATTATGAGGGGAGTTCTCTGGTGCAAAAGGGTTTTATCATGTATCCGTTCATTCATGTTTTTCTATTCACAGCTCAGTTTCAGTATTTCGTTCCAAAAAGCCGTACCCACGATTTAAAGTATTGGGAATTGTCACAACCTCCATTGCTCAAAAAAAAGACTCTGCAAAATGATTTTGCTATGTACATAGAATTCACAAACCGACCTATACGGAACGGTTGCGAATGCCGTCGGGCACTAATATCACCAAATCCAATATTTAATCCAACCCAGTCCTTCAGCATAGGCATGCAAAGCATCACCATGGCTTCCACCATCTCTTCTCGGCCTCCCGTTTCAGCCGCTCGTCCTCTTCTTTCCGTACTCTCAACTGTTCTCTCCTCTCCTCTAGCTTCTTCTCCCTCTCTAGTTTTTTGTATTCAATGATCTGCATCGCCCGAATCATACCGTCTTGCTCTCTTCCTCTACGCCATTCACAAGCCTCCCATACTACCCAGGATGTAGCAGTAAACATACCAACGGCCCAGTTACAGGCACTATACAACGGCGCTGTTTTTTTTAAAAAAAAATAGATTACTTCTCGTTAGCCTTCATATGCATACCCACATCGTCCTGTTAGATATATAAATCTCAAGGGTTATACTAACCCCGTAGAACGAGTTTCACCCCACCAAACGCGAATCCAGTCGCAATACCGGTCAGGAATGTCTGCCGTGCACATGGCGTCTTATGAATGTTGGACAGACTATCCCAGCTAATGCTATTGATGGCATCGGAGAAGGTAGCCTTTTGTCGTGGAGGGATTTGTCCCACTGTTGACGGGTCGGGCAAGGGAGGGAGAGAGGAAGAGGAAGTACCTTCCGAGCCCGGAGGTGAAGTTGGAGATGTGTCGTTGGCCATGGCTTTTTTTCTCTTCTTCTTCTTCTTCTAAATTGGAAGTAGTTGGTATCAATTTACATCTTTAGATGGCTAGTTCACCATGCGCGGCTCGCCGAAGTTGTCGAGGTGAGGTTGGATGTTTAGTATTGAAACCTTGGTTTGCAACGCAAAATATGCAACATGTTGCTACGAATCGACATTGCGATTTTACCTTTGACATTTTAGGTAATGCAATATGGGAAATAATCAGGTCTAACAGGTAGCTAATTAATTAATTCAGATGTGAATACATGAAATGCCACGGATTATCCTATTCGAGATCGCAAAGTTTCTATTTATGCTTGCCATTTAAAAGGCCAACGCTATGCAATAATGTATAATCTCGGAGCCTTACATTCGAGTAGGCCTTGATCAAAACGTATGTGACAGAACCAACAGAAGCAAATGTATGCAATGTCGTTCTCAAAATCATCCCTCTAACCCGTCCACCAATGAAACTAAAAAAAAAATGATGGTACCAACTATATACCCTCCAAGATAACCTTCACATTCTCCTCTAACATCTGGAGCGAATAATATTCCGCTACACTCTTGTAAATCTTCAACTGGGCCACTATGCCCTCCTTAGGAATTGTGAGTTTCCAAACCCCGCTGCAAGCACAGTGTTCCTGAAAGTCACTAGTCTTGATCTTCTTGCACCTAAAACAAACCAAATCCTGCGTGCTGTAACGTATCAACATCTCCTCTACCTCGCCTACCATGCGTTCCTGTAACGCCAATCGGTCGTATTCATGTCCACAGTTGAAACACCTCCAAGCTCTCTCCTTGCTGGGCTTCCCGTCAACGTCTAACTCCGGCATTAGATCTTCATCCCTACAGAAGTCCAAATCTCGCGACATGGTGCAGTTTTGACAGATCACCTGCTCGAATCTTAGGCTCTCTGTTGTATTCTCGAACTGGCCCTCTTTGCTAAACTCCTTGATATCAAACATATGCAACAGATCCTTTCGGAGCTGTCGAGTCGAGAGCATAAGGTCTTTGGGTAGAGCAAATACTGCGGACATAGCTTTGACGAGCTCCAGAACAGCATTAGAGCTCCCAAGCTTCGTGCCAGGTAAGTTCGGGAATTCAAATTCCGATTGCCGGTCAGGGTGAAGTATAATATCGTGCTGCAATCGTAGCAACTGCGAGATGTTCTTCTTCAACGGTTTCAAAAACTCTTTAGGCAATGTCAAGACGTCGCCAATATCGTCTTTCCCGCCATCTGTAGCCCTGGGAGGTAGTTGTGTCATTCTAGGAGTGGATTCTATCATCCCGGCCGAATTCTCTGGGTGCTTGAAACTGTGTAGAATATGCACGAACTCTACGACCCATGTGCTGAAAGCCTCCTGCATAGTTTGCGGCAGCGCCTTGCTAAACTGCCAGTGCATGATCAAGTTCAACTTTTGTTTGTCTGCCTCAACTACTTCGGAACAAGCCAGTCCACCATAGTTATATGGATCATACCAAAGGAGATAGTCCCAGTACTCCTTGACATCGAGATCCAGGAAATTGAAGAGAGGCTTCGCCTTGATCGCTTTGAGAATATACTGGCTATAGGCGTAAGCTGTGCCTACCTCGGCCTTTGTCGTTTGCAAAATCAGACGATTCGCACTAGCATATACGACGCTAGAACCAACACGCCTGAAGTCGGCGAGTAGCTGCAAGAAAGCCTTTTTTGACATAGTCTGGACGTAGAAGTGGAGGGCGTGGTCGTAGAGGAACGACTCTGGGCTCTCAACCCAACGGACAAGATGCTGGACCATGAGATCAGCCATACTGTTTCCCTTAGTTGCATCTCCCCACCATGACTTCACCAAATCTCTTAAGACGGTGATACTAGCTGAGGCAAATGTATTCTCGGTGTATAGGGATTGTTGCTCTTCGCCGTTGGATTTACCAGCCGGGTTGAACCCCATAGCATCTGCACCCTCGAGTTCGTTGATCAAAGAAGAGGTTAGAAGGGTGTTGATAGCCAGATTTCTTACGTCAAGCTCGATGCAGACCGAGGAATATGATCCTCTGTTGTTGATATCAGGCATATTAACGTGCTCGAGAGATCGGACAATACTATCTTTCTGGTGGCCAGCATGATCAGGGATTGGTGTTGATGACCACCAAAGAACCACGTTGCTCGCCTGAAGCCTCCGTGCGTAGGCAATATCGACCAAAAACCTTGGGTCATGATTGACCAAGTTGCACAGCGGGACGTTACCATACCTTGCCAGCTCGATCAAATGGGATAGCCACGAACCGAGGGATAAGTACCGGATGACGATGCGCTTTGCCACAAAGTTTTGCCAGCCTAATGGTGGAAGGCTACTGTCTGTTTGATCGATCTGGAGCGACAGCATTGGGAATTCATTTAAAGACCGTATTTCTTTGCAAAGCGTGGATTTGTAAGGTGATTGGATAACAAGGACAAATGCCTTTTGTTCCTCAGATTTAAGTTTCTTAATCGCATCATCGATATTCCTGTATAAGAGGCGTGGCTTGTTGATGTAGGTTGTCTTGAAATGAACTGTATCTAGATATTCGAACGGACCCTGTCCGTGTGACTCCTGGTTTCGTCGAAGAATTTGTTCCGCATACATTTTGTCGATATTCGGTAAGCTTTGCGTATCCTTCTGCGCGTTCAGCACAAATACTTGGGCCTCGGCACCGCTCGAGGATACCAGAGAAACAAATTGTCTATCTCCCGCAACCAGGTGGAACAAGTATAGATAGGAAATTTGTGCGTCCCCAAGATAAGGCTGCTGGGTATCTTGCTGGAGAATATCTTTCAAGTCAAACCCCTCCTTGATGCCCTTCCCAAGTACGCCCCTGGTGCTCCCGTCCAATGTACAAGTGTTGCCTAGCTGTAGCATAGCTCTGACATTCAGAGGAAGGTCGGTTTCATAGATTCCTTCCACTGTCGGGTGGGATGTCAGAGCCACCATCTTTTGAAATTTCTCAACGTATACTTGTTCTGGCATAGTCAACCTGAACAAGTTTGATGATGAGTGACCGTTGGGTAATGTAAAGTTGACGGGCTCGGAGCTACACTGGTCCAGTTCGAAATTCGGAACATCTTTACTTCTGAAATTGATGAAAATTGTTCTTGGAACAACAACCTTTACGATGTGTATCTTCCGATCGATCAAGACGTGCGCATTGACCTCGCCAGGAACATCCGTCTCTGCAAAATGTAGAACCTGCCATGCCTTCATGTAGACAAGCTGGGCTTGTTGTCGGAACATGGAGTCCAGACCCTCGCCTGTGTTTGCTTGTCGGTCTCCAAACAGCTGTCTTCTTCGTTCTCGGGCATGCCGTTGGATTTTCCACTTCTTCTTCTGATATTGCAAGAATCCCTTGTAGTCTTTGTCGATAGCTGGCATCTTTGCTGGGAGGCTTGCATACGGATCGACTGGGACGACAGGTTCTGGTGCCTTTCGTTTCAGGCTCTGAGATGCCGCAACTTTGTTCAAGACGCTATCGAGACCTTTTCCAACTGGCGCTGTTGATCCAAAGTCTTCCATATCCTGTAAATTGATAGCATTACTCGTCACATCCGCCATAGGTTCTTTCTTGAACATATCCGTCATCTTCTTCTGCTTCAGCTTGTCATCCTTCGCGTTGATCCGACGCTGAAGCCAATCAGGATGAACAATCCGCGGCACTGGGTTTCTAACCTTCTGCAGCGCAGCAGGAATAGTAATAAGTTTTTGGATGACGGAGCCTAAGCGCTCGAGATAGTAGCTCCAATCGACCACATTTCTAGGATCCATATTAGTGATATCCTCGCGAAGCCATTTCCGTAAAAAGTGTTTCTTGATGGACTCTTCAGCAGAGAATATGGCGACTGGGACGGCTCTTTCTGTAACTGGGGCGCCCCTCGGCTTCGCAGAGATAATGTATTTGCAGTTGAGACCTTTATCCTTGACCATCTGGTCTCCCAGGAACTCTGCCAATCGCCTCGCAGTTTTGATAGATGTTGACTTTTGAGTCCCGTATTCGTCCAGAGTTTTCGCCATATTCCTGTTCTCGCAAATGAGTTCAATGAGCTCTTCATCGGCGAGAGTGGACCCTTGCTGATAAAGAACATCCAACCAACGATTCGCTACTTTAGCAACCGCTGCATATGTCTCTGCTAGTGTAGTACCCTCTAAAAACACCTTGAAGATCTGAGTCTGAAATATCTTAATCAACTTCAACTCGCCACGACGTTTGACCTCGAATCCTTTTAATTCAGCGAGACTGCCATCATGATTGAAGACAGCATATCGTTTTTTCAATCCTTTATCCTCTTCTTTAGAGGTTGGTAAGATCATAGCCCTGTATGGACCATCAACTTCAAAAAAGATTGAGTTCTCGGCGTGTGTCTCGTATTTAAACTTGTCTTTGTCTACCAAATCTTGGTACTGGTGGTTTGTGAACTTGTCGTGCACTAGATGGTTCAACATAACACAAGGATACGATATTGGTAGCTTCTTCCCACCTGATAAGTTGAAGACAAAGTTCTCGGGGAAGGTAGCAGGTAGGATACACCAAATACCATCAGTATCCAGCTCCAACGGTCTTCCTATCCTCTCCACAAGCTGGCGAGCCAACTGAATAATCCGCGATCCAGTCAAGCAAGTTACACCAGCCATCTCCAACGAATACCACCGGGATCCCTTTCTCATGACGTATCCATAGAAGGAATTGAGAATAACTTTGTGAGCCAATTGGAGCGAGTCAAATAGAACCACCATTTTTCCACCCTCATCTATTTCGGCTTGGTTTGCACCTGCCTTCTTCAGTGAATCTGTTTTGTTCTTCCAAACCTTCTGCTCGCCTTTGAAATAATACCGACGATCTCTAAACATTCGCACAGTATCAACGTAGAATGGATTCTCACGCTGACAAATAATAGCTTCACGTTCAATTGTCCTTGTCTCCTTGATCTTGTGGTAGATTTTCTTACTATATTCCGTAAGCCGTTTTTTAATTAAACCTGCTTGTTCAGAAGGGGGTAGCCCATCCCAACTTCTATAAGGCCCATTTGGGTATTTCGGCGGAAACCTTTCGTTTTCCAGAGCTCTCCTAATCATAAGATACTCGTCCCGCTTCGGCGGCAGGAACTCGCCTCTCCAAGCCCACGGCAACCGTCGATCGCATGTTTTTCCGGGGCGGTTAAAATCGCAAGCCGCACAATCTGACTCTTTGATCATAGAATCTGGCTGGAGACGGTTGGTCGTCATAATGTTTGGATACATAGAGGCGACGTCCAAATGGTAAATGAGAGGCCTTTCACTCCGATTAGGTGTCGTCTTCAGGTCCATCAGGTTCGCTGCAATCTTTTCCTTGACTTCGTCATAATTCGTGACATCTTCAAGCTTCTTGTTGCTTTCTACCACAATGGCGAACTTCAAGGCGGCATCTAAGTCTCGTAGTAGTTCATCGATGGCACCAGGATCGACCGAAAAGTTGGCGGGAATGTCACTTCGGAATACACCTGCCTCCAATGCCTCGACGTGACCACCGACGTACGTTTCCGATTCAACCAGATGCCCCTCCCAGAAGACCTCATCGGGGTTTTTGTGCTTGTTGGGAATGATAATATTTTTTTGGAACGCTTGAACCTATACACTTGTCAGTATCGTGACCAAAACAGTACAGTCCATGTGTGTTTACCATTAACAACATCTCGCATAAGGTACCGGTACCCTTCCGTAAGACATCGTCGGGCCCTAGAGGAATGATTGTACACAGAGAAAAGATAAAAGGATGGACGTATTTCATATACAGATAATATGTTGCAACAGCATCGGAAACCGAGTATTCTGCCAATGTCTGTGGGCGTTCGCTCGCATATCTTCCCAAATATAAGCGTACGTAAATTAGCAGGACTTTTGAAGAGCTAAATACCTTGTCATCAATTCTGGATCTAATTCATCCGGGTCGTAACCCAGCTTCGCTGTTGTAACTGCTTTGAGGCCACGACTACCTTGCGGAAGGTAACTGTCTCGATTTACCCAAGCAAAAGCATCCATATGGGCGCAATAATTGCTCTTGTAGATACCTTCACTATCCTTCCGAAACCCAACTTCGTGGTACATATCAATACCTAAAGCCGAAGCTCTCGCTTCTACAAAAGGCCAATCGAAGAAGTCTCCGTTGTATGTCACGATGACTGTTGGTCTCGCCTCTTTGATATGGTCAAAGAATCTCTCTAAGACACCACGTTCATTCGGTTCGTTGAATATCATGAATTCACCCTCGTACTCTGGCTTTGGAGTATACTCGAAATCTTCAATATCCTCAGATACTATTTCTCTGTTTGTGATTAAGAAGCCCTATTTTTGATCAGCGTTATCTCTAACTAGTTCAGCAGGATGAAAGGTACCTGTCCATCAATCATATATGAAATCATCATAATCTGATCAATTAAGGCGTCTGGAAACTTGAGGGGAAGCTTTGTGGTTTCAATATCAAAAGCTAGCACCACAGGGTCCGCACGAGCAAGACGATCCTCTATTAGAGATAACCCGATTATGCCGTGCTTCGCTTCGACGGTATACCACTTCCCGATCCGGATATCTACCATTTGTATTAACGAAGGCTTCATGAAGGGGGTTCATGACTTCAGTACCTAGATCTATCGAAACTCGAACGTGATACGGAACATCATATTCTCTAATGTCGACTATATAGTCGCTTGCGTCGACACCGGCATTGTTTGCTCTTCCCATGTCTAACGGGTCGTCGAAGAGGTCAAACCCGGCCCGAGAACTATATGGCCCTCGTTTTAGCAAATCTGATATTCCAAGGCACCAACAGTATCACGCTTACTTTGTAACTTCAGCATAAGTATCTATGGCATCAACCTGCTTCTTATTGTCCTCGGCAATTGGCATCAGAACTTTTCGGACGGATAGTAAATCAGGAACATTGTGGAAGTCGATTTTAATGAATGTCCGCCTATAACCCATCAAATGATTGGGCTGCAGTATGGATTAGCCAGGGAGTCCCATAATTTCAATTAATCGAGGTTGACTATACCATCTGTAGGTCCTCTCTTGTAAGTCTCGAAAGTGACTTTACTAATCCTTCAAATTTTCGACGCAGCCATTCTTCAACTTCCATTTCAAAGCCAGCCTTGCAGGCTATCAGGATATACGGATCGTATAAAACTGTCGCCTTGAAGGACCCGCCCTCGTCGTCGATGAAGTAGAAGTCAACTCCAGCCTTCCCTCCAATATTGTTCTCGTCCTCAATTGCCGTCTAGAAAAACCACCAACTGCATTAGCAACATTATTCCTTTTGCTAATACGTCTAAAGCTTCCAATATTGACATCCGTACCGAATGCATATTGATCAACCACCCAATTTTCTTCGGTCCAGCCTCATATCTTGGAAACCCCATCTTCTCGTCTATCGAATTTGCAAGCTTTGTAGCTTCCCATTTTTCTTCCGAGCTTGTCCGATCCGTTGCTAGTAAGGAGTCCTTGTCTACTGCTTTTTTGTTATTCTTGAGATATCGACCACCACTCCGAGGACCTCCTCGATAGGGGACTTTGTAGCCCTTTTGACCTTTCGACATTGTCGAGGGATTGGCCTAGTCGACCTCGTCGATAATAGCTGTTTAGGGAGCGCGATAGTAGGAATAAAAGGATTAGATTGTGTCAGACATGTGTCGCATTGTAAGGTCGAAGCTGGGGGTATATCGATGCTCGAGTTCGAAGCTGTAGTAATATTATGGTAGTCTTATGGTTGCTGGTTCGTAGCAACACAGCTTGTCGCGTAAAGTGGAAAACAAGAGACCAAAGCTTTGAATTCGCGTTCGGCGGCGTCTAATTGGTCAAATAAGAAATCGAGGTCAGAGCTTTGAAGTTAAGAAATCAAAGAATCACCAACCCCAATAAACCCTGGTCTTATAGATTTCAGTATTCTAGAGCATCTATAGAGACGATCCACGAGATCTTGAAAGTCACGTTTAAGCACCGCCACAACCTCACTTGCCACACACATGAGGCGGTGAAGTGGGATGTGGCTCCAAAATGCGTTGTTGCCAAGACTGTCCCACGTCTATCGATAACATTTTTCTGAAGGCCGCACGCACCCCAAGCTCAGAGCTGCTTCAAAGTGCAAAAAGCTTCAAACGTCAACCTCCAATAACTTGTAATATCCTCGCGATTCCATCAATAAAATACCCTCGTACCAATAACTCCAGTCAGCTTCTTTCGATAATCCTCTACATAAACGATAACCAAAATGTCCTTTGGTGGGCAGACACCGACCATCTTGGTCTTGAAGGAGGGCACGTATACAAAGCTCTATATCATATGTTATGGAACTTACGTAGGCCGTACTAACATAACAACTTGTAGGAACTGACCAGTCCCAGGGACGCGGACAGATAATCACAAATATCAACGCCTGTCTTGCCATACAAGCTACAATAAAATCAACTCTCGGACCTTACGGTGGTGATCTGCTGCTCGTGGACGCTAACGGCAAACAGACAATCACCAATGACGGAGCTACGGTTATGAAGGTGGCTATTCAACTTACCAATAATATTTAAGATTCACTTTGAAGTACTCAGGAAGCTTATATTTCTGCTATTAACAGCTTCTGGATATTGTTCACCCCGCCGCTCGTATCCTTACCGACATTGCCCGCTCGCAAGATGCCGAAGTTGGAGACGGTACAACATCCGTGGTGGTTCTTGCCGGTGAAATCCTCAAGGAATCCAAAACATTCGTGGAGGAAGGTGTCAGCTCGCAAGTCATCATCAAGGGTCTTCGAAAATCATGCATTTTAGCCGTCAACAAGATCAAAGAAATTGCTGTACGGATAGATAAGGGCGAAAAGAGGGACATCTTAATCAAGTTAGCCGGAACAGCAATGTCGTCAAAGTTGATTAAGAGAAATTCGGCCTTTTTCACAAAAAGTATGCGACAACCAGACCCTTTATGATTTTATAATCGGGATGCTGACAAATATAAATTTCAGTGGTCGTGGATGCCGTTCTCTCACTAGACCAGGATGACTTGAACGAGAAGTTGATTGGAATGAAGAAGGTCCCCGGTGGTGCACTCCAGGACTCTATATTCGTCAACGGTGTCGCTTTCAAGAAGACTTTCTCATACGCTGGTTTCGAACAACAACCCAAATCGTTCAAGAACCCAAAGATCGTCTCCTTAAATGTCGAGCTTGAACTCAGTATGTAGATGTAATACAGCTATACCAGGGATACAGGGGCTAACTCGTACACTATAGAGAGCGAGAAGGATAACGCTGAAGTCCGTGTCGAGCAGGTTTCGGTATGTCATTCTACTTCATGGATCAGACAGGATCCCAACTTACCAATTTATAGGAATACCAAGCAATAGTCGATGCCGAATGGCAGATCATCATTCAGAAGCTAGAGGCCCTTGTTGCCACCGGCGCCAAAGTCGTCCTCTCCAAGCTCCCCATCGGTGATTTGGCAACTCAATACTTCGCGGACCGTGATATCTTCTGTGCTGGCCGAGTAATGAGCGAGGATATGGAACGAGTCGTCCAGGCTGTTGGCGGTAGCATACAATCGACCTGTTCCGACATCAAGGAAGAACACTTGGGTACTTGTGAGTCTTTCGAGGAGCGACAGATTGGTGGTGAACGATTCAACTTCTTCCAGGGTTGCCCCAAGGCGAAGACATGCACATTGGTGCTCCGTGGTGGTGCAGAACAATTTATTGCGGAAGTGGAACGGTCCCTTCACGACGCTATAATGATTGTTAAGAAGGCCATCAAGAACGACCAGATTGTTGCTGGTGGCGGTGCTCTCGAGATGGAAATTTCGAAGTACCTTCGCGACGAATCAAAATTGATCGCAGGAAAGCAACAGATGATTGTTGCAGCCTTCGCAAAGGCTCTTGAAATCATCCCAAGGCAACTGTGCGACAATGCAGGATTCGACGCAACCGATATTCTGAATAAGCTACGACAAAGACACGCTAAGGGCGAGACATGGGCCGGTGTTGATATCGATAACGAAGGCATTGCCGACAACCTTGAGAAGTTTGTGTGGGAGCCAACAGTAGTTAAATTGAATGCGATCCAGGCTGCGACCGAAGCTGCTTGCTTGATCCTGTCAGTGGACGAAACAATTAGTACGTTTTTAGAATAGATGCTTGACCCAAAGCACACCGGCGCTAATGCGAATGTGAACAGAAAACGAAGAGTCGGCTCAACCGCAATCAGGACCACCTATGCCAAGAGGCGCAGCGTATGTTACTCCATTGCACCTACATTTGCCATATGAATCCGAAATTCTAACATGAAAACCGGTATAGGGGCCGAGCACTACGAGGCCGTGGCAGAGGAATGCCGAGAAGGTGATTGCAATAAAGAAAGAGAGAGTAGAGCCGGTCTATATGGTACCGAGCAGCATTTTTGAATCTTATGCATATTTAGAATTGAATATACAGATTCATGTCGATGGATACCAGAGCTTTCAGGGTCGCATTACCGTAAAAGACACAAAAGAAAGAAAACTCCATAATATCCCCCCATAGACAAAAGCAAAAGCGAAAAAATGCATTTATTTTTCTTTCAAACGGAGACGTTTGAGCGGGGGTGAAATGGGAACATGTCTTGAGTGTGCCCCCTCTTTGAATCGTAAAGAAAATCAGATCAAGAAATCCTCTCTCTGTGACCACATAAAGCATTTCATTCGTAATTTCGGCGCCTCCTTCGTACAGCTTGAAGAGCGGTACGCAGTCCCAGTTGTCGCCTCAAATCCCTTGACATAGCTTTATTGCACTGACAGCAGCCCTTTAATTCAAATGTACCCTGCCAACATCCCAATCTATTTTGAAGTCGTCTCCCCATTGATTTGCGGCCCTGTACTGCTTGAGACGTGTCCGTGCAGACTATCCTCGCTTTCATCTTCCTCTTCAATGATACCTAGTTCAGCCTCTTCATTTCCAACGGCATGATAGCTAGCCTGCTTCGCCTGTCGTTTTCTCTCCAGCATACGCTTATGATACCACATACAGAGCCCTAGGGCGGCGCCGGCACCGAGAAGATTTGCAAAAATGTCATAAGCATCGAATGTACGCCACTACCGTCACCACCAATGGTTAGCCAATCAAAATCCCCCATCGATAGTATAGCCCGAGACTTAGGATGCTATACCGGCAAGACTCCCTGAACGAACTCCGATCCTACACCAAGAATGCCAAACATAACTACTAAGGTAAAGTTGACTACCCGACGACGGGATGTATCGAGGACCCAGTAGAAACATAACTATAGGTTTGAAGCGAAAGCTGTCAGATACGATAACGTATATTCTATTCCCATGTTGGAATAAGACGGAATGGATTTACTTACTGTCATCAAGAAGAAACATATAAAGTGCACAATTTTATCATTGACCGGAATAACCAATCTCTTTGAGAAACCAAGGTACGCCGACAATAGCAGCAGGAAAGCAAATGCACCTATAATTTTCGAGGTGAAGCCGTGATCAGTACCATGCACATACATTATGCAGTAAAAACAGCTCCGTTCGAAGCTATTCAACTTTTAGGCTTTAACCATAAATTATCTTCGCTTACCTGCAATCTGAGGCCTTATCCGCATCATGGTAGCTTATGAGATTCGAAACTGAGAAGTAGAATGCTATGCGACAACGACGATATGGTTTTTTCAAGGGTTGAAGGACGTTCGGAATGACGTTAGAGAACCGGCATTGCTGATGAGCAAGTTGAAAGTCGATGTTAGTGGGGGGACAGATATGTTGGATGCAGAGATACCGCTGTTGCAGCTGACAATGGCGACGGAATAGCCCAACGGCGCGGCACGGTCTTGGCGCAGGCGGCGGGCTGCGTATGCCATTACGACTCCATGGCCATGCAATGCTACATGCATCCCAGAACCGTTCGAACACCTCCATGGACCCATTGCACTAACTATAGCATCTTGTCTAGTATACCTAGTATTTATAAAAGTACTTAGTTTTTAAACGTTTTATGAACAGGCGGCTATGGCCGCTTTGGGTCTCAGTGCCCTGAAAATACAACGGCCGACCAGCGCCAGCCTCAGTAGTATAAATTAATAGTATTCGGCATTTGCATTTGCGCCCTGCTCATTAAACGAAATACAACGCAAAATAGCGTTGGAATTGCTGGTGATATCTCAGGTTGCATTATATTATGCCAATTCGCATTCCTTCTTTCAGCTATAGTGATTCATGTTATAGAACGGCCTTACCATGAGGTTACCTTTACTGAATATTACGATTTGATTTTTAAACTTTGTGCATCGGAAATAACTAAAGTCTATCACTGAATAGCTAGTATCGTCATATTTCATCTAGGCACAGTGCAGGGGCGATTATATTAATAAACCTGTTGTTGCTTCCCAATACAAAACCAGATTGAATCTACAAAATGATGTATCATATAGGCCAGGAAATAACTGGAAGTAAAATACGCGAATAACCAAATTGAAATTGAAATCGACGGAGTTGAAAGGCTCTTGCCTTTGCAACAAATCCCACCATACATGTGGAAAAAAGTTGAAGGGTCCGGCGACAAGACACCTACGTATATACAGGCATTATATACAAATTAAGGTTTAGCCCCCTTGGAATTTTCCTCGTCTTTCCCCTTGGTGTTTTCTAGGGCTTCAGATTGCGGACAAAGTCTTTCAATCCCGTCCGTATTTGAAAGCGCTAGATACCGAGGTATACATGTCGTGTCGGATTCATTCGGGGTAATAGGCTCTGGCGGCGAATCCTCTCGTTTACGGGATTTGGCTCGTGGAGCTTGAGCGTTATTTTCGTCGGCCATAACAAGATTTATATCTACCGCTGGTACAAGATCCTCAAACGGGTCTCGGGCAGGACGCCAGAGTTCTTCCAACGGAGGGAAGGGATCAGCAGGTGGCACGATTCGTGCAGGCTGGTAATTTCGGTCTGGGTTCACGGCGTAAAGATACCGCATGAATAGTTCCCATTCTCCCCTTAAGCTTGGCTTCCATTTTCGTAATTCCTTCATAGGATTGCCATGTATCCATGGAACGTCAGGTCCATATAAGTAGTAACCTGGCTGTATTTCTGCCACGATCCTTTCGCGGTATACATCCCATGGCCTGGGATAGTACCAGTAATTCCTCGTCTCCCAGTACTCCGTTCTTGGGCCAAAACCAGTACTTAATGATTGATTGTTCAAGTTTTTCGGACCATTATTCCATCTCCACTCGGGGTGTGCTTTTCTAAGATGCAGTGGGAGAGATGATAATTCGCTAGCCCAGCTTTGTACTGACATATTTTCGAACCTTTGTGGGATTTCTGGGTCGCCGAGTTCTGCCCAACATTGACAGCCTATAATTTTGTATGTTTAGCAAGAAATCTTGAAATTTCGACAGTACTGCATCAGATACCTGAAAAAATATCCAAGAGGGGTACGCTAGGCTGAGGAGGTGTGCATGTATATAAAAAAAACCTTCACCATCCGAAGGATCAAAAAAAAAGGGTCAATTAACTTACCAAAAACCCATTCGCATTTCCTAGCGTCTTCCCACGTTCTGCAGTATGATAAACTATCATTTTTCCTAGCCGCGGGAGCATGTAGGGATGCCCAATCATCACAACTACAATCCTCTATACAAGACTCTTGCATCTCTTTGATAAATTCTTCGGCCATCCACGGATTTTCATCAAAATTCCTCCAGCTGAAACCCTTAGGTAGCAAGTCTCTTGTACGCTCTGCAGCGATTGGGCTCTTGAACACATGTTTGGGATCGGCACATCGTATTTCGAAACTGTCCTTTATCCAGAATGATATTTTGACGTAGTCATCTTCGTCGAAGTCTAGGTCACCATCCAGGTCACCCCAGTCGTCGTCGAGCGGGTCGTAATCAATATCTGGGGTTGGCCCATTTGGCTTAGGACCGTGATTCCTCGACTTGCCTTTCCTCGACTTGTGCCCTTTCCCTTCTTTTTTGTGTGTAGGCGCTAGAGGATTTTGTGTTGGTTTCGAATGGGGTGAGACTATTGACGTTGAAGAAGAAGGAGAAGAAGAAGAAGATATTGTCGACTTGAATAACGACGATGTTGTCGATTGAGGGGGGGGAGATGTTTTCGGTTTGGCGGGAGAAGATGATTTAGGTTTAGAAGGAGGTATCGTTTCGATATGATCTATGACAGGGGCAAGAGGCTTTTTAATTTTGCCCACGTCAACCTCCAAACCTCGTGTTCGTATTCCATCGTGTAGGATATTATCAAATTTATCAAGGCTGTCCGAGGGATCTAAGGGCCCTTCCCGTGATTTCGGAACCAGCGTAGCTCCGGTACTGCCGTCAACTGGGCCTAGTACTGGTGCACAGTAAGAGAATGCAAAAATAAAACCCGCGATAGTCCAAATGTAAGCGTTCATATATGTATTCGGTATCTTCATTTTTGAAATGGATGGTAGGTGCGGCGAATGTATCGATAGGCGTCTTTGATATTCAAAATATCCCCAGTTTCTGCTAATAACTCGCGACCGCATACATGGCTTACTTCAATTGCAAACATGCACAGATATCATATGTATATATATCCAGTGTGCAAATTTTATACAACTAAATCCCTCTTAATAAAGGACCCGAACCGATCTATATCTGTTCTTTCCGTGGGACAGCATTCTAGATTGGGTTACAGCCAGGCTCAAGTGAATCCCCACATCTAGTCCATCTAGTGCAATATGATCAAGATTCAAATCTGATGGCAACGTGCATACGAAGGTTATAGCGCTAAAAGTTGTACACACGCAAATAGCCTCGATGCATGCCAGGCCCAAGTGAAGGGGACGCTGCGCCTAGATTTTGGAGGCTAACATACACGAATGTTGTATGTAGTTGTATCGCATTTTTAAATTTCAAATTTGGCCCTTAAGCTTTGGCTATTATATTTGGTTCATAGACAGGTCAGATAGGATATTAAGATGTCGCTATAAATTTAGTATTTGAACGTTAACGTTTGAGAATCGAGTTAGAATGTTGTTAGTTGTAAGTATCAATAGCAACATTGCCTCCTGATAGTTGGTCCGTCTGTTAGGATACTACAATTCTCTGCCGTTTTTCCAACTGTCGACCTCAGAGGATCGCAGAAGAAAGAGGCCAACAGAGCTTACAAAGCAGTACCTTTCTATTGGAATTTGGCATTTCGCTTCTTCTTCTCTCTCTCTCTCCCTTTTTTTTTTTTTTTTTTTTTTTTTTCCATCTTGGACATCATGAAACCTTCTGGTTTCAAGAGAAGGTCTGGAAGCTAATTGGAATGTTGAAATGTGTTGTGATGTTGTAACCTGGGCAGCAGCCCTGTGCCTGTGATGCCTGTGTCCCTGGAAGGCGGCAAGGCGTTGAATTCGATTGAACTGTGCGCTGCGATGCATTACGATGCACTACTCCTGCGAATACCTTTTGTCTCGAACACTCTCAACAGCCCTAATTAAGATGGCGCCGCTATTGAAGCTCGCCAGAATCGGCCCCAGGTCGCGGACCCCTTTTATTATTTCTCCGATAGAGTTGTCGCATCAGTAGAAATGCCTATTTTTGAAGCTATAGTAGTGGCACGATATGGCAATCCTCCTACCGATTGGTTGAGGTTAGGCCCCCCGGACAGCCTCAGAATCGAAATCATCTCGGCCAAAAAATCTTAAATCTGGTCGCTTGCTCAAATAACCACTTACCCACTTAGCAGAGACTACACAAAGAGGTCACGAGAATGCGGGGTTACAGGTTCACAGATTTTGTGTTCACTCAGGCCCCTGAGGCAGCATCATCATATTGGGGTATTAGTTAATATTGGAAGCTCTCAAACAGATGTTGTCGCCTAGGAACGAACCCGAACTGGCTGCGGAGCGAAGTTTGAACGTTGTGACCTCGCCGCAAACGAACGAGAATCAAGCCTCACCTAACCACAGCTGTACAGCATTCCTGGGCTGATCTGCATGCTCTCATTTTATCTCCGAAAGGAAAGCGTTCAATTTGATTCAAACAAAAGCTGCTCTCTTCTTTCTCTCAGAGAAGGAGAAGGAGAGGGAAAGGGAAAGGGAAAGGGAAAGGGAAAGGGAAAGGGAAAGGGAAAGGGAAAGGGAAAGGGAAAGGGAAAGGGAAAGGGAGAAAGAGGGAGCAATGTTGGAACGGCGTGGGTAGGAACGTGTGTTCGAAGCGAGGTTTACCGTTTGACCGTGGGAACGAGCCCACTTCACTGTCGAAAACGGCGGCCGGGTCTGCTGTTAGCTCCCATAGCCAGTGCTGTGCGGTTTAGCAATCGGTCGAATTCAACTGGAAGGAAATGATTGTGCACATCCCTCCAAATACGGCCTTTGATCTGGTTCGCGCGGTTCAGGTGAATGTATTGTGCACTTGCGCATGCTTTGATGCTCAAGTTATCACCGGATATGATCCAATTGAGAAATTTAAAGATGGGGCCGGCCTTCAATAATGATGTTTAATGTTTCAAGTCCTTTCTTGCATTGCATTGCCTAGCATACAATTATTGCCGCCTTCCCAGGTGTGGACCGGAGCGAGGACCATAATATTTCATGGGAAATGGGAATGAGCACGAGGAGCTTGTTATTCTGTCCTTTTCGTTCAGCATTTCCGTTCTACATATAAGATGCTTCCTGCAGTATCCGGCGGTTCAATCGCAATTTGCAACTTGACTGGAATTTGGGTATCTTAATTGTTAGCAGATATTCGGGTGGTCTGATAGTTCTGCTGATAATCCTGATCGATACTTAAATTATTATTCTGGTTCAAATTCTCCTGGCATGGACCCGCATGCCCGATAACTAACTAGCTTAAGCTGCTGCTTTCAGTATAACCACTGCGGAACGAGGTAGCACTACTTCCTTTTACATGGTACGATAGGTCGGTACTGAAGTATATACTCCTGGCATATCCCGGGTTACTCTGAAACCCGCCTTCAAAAGCTATACGAAGAACAGAACTCGAACTTTACCTACTGTACCACAGTCGACTCGTATTCCGTCGACTACTTCGGTCTTAATTGAGATCCTCCCCGCTGGAAATCGGTTAGTTCAACCTCCCCTTCTCTCATGATGTTTTGTGGAATTTCAGCCGCCTCTGGTTTTATTTTTACTTTAATTTATTTTTTTATTTTTTTATCCTATTTTTTTTAAAAAAAAATTTCAACATTCCTGAACATCGGAAAAGTCACAATGTCAGCTTGATTGTGTATCATCCTGCATCCATGTCTTGTCGATAGGCTGGTTGGCTGGCTCGTGGTCTCCGGTGGAGCAAGGAACTGAGCACAATATACAGACATCCTGGGCAGGGCAAAGCATTTCCTCTTCACTGGCATGTCATGCCATGCCATCCTGCAAGCTGCAGCTAGAAAATATCCCGCCCTACCACCTACTTGAGCACCTAAGTACTGAAGTAGTTAACCTCCATGTACCTACCAGCATTCTGCGGAATGAATGCACTCGCTCATGTACCCCTGCGCCGCATTTTTCCTCTCCTCCCGATTTGAAGATAGATGTGTCTGGCCTCGATCTTCCTGGAAGGAATTTCTTGAGGTCTTGGGGTGGCTAGAAGCCCGCCAGGACTGCATTCTTCACATCTCCAACGTTACAAACAAACTCTTTAAGACGCCCAGAAGTTGGCGACTAATCCGTGCGCAGTCGTTTCTCATTAGATACATCCAAAATTGAATACGGAAAGGGCATATTACTAGCCCGGAAGCGTTCGTTTGGGACGGTCCGACAGGTCAACAAAATCTGATTCAATTGCAAATCATCGATATCTCTCGCTCGCTCTTGTTCGACTAAAGGATCACGCCGCCGCCGACAGCTTAATTAACCAAGGTTCCGATTATACATACTAGTAAGTTCAAGCAAGCCAAACGAGTAAAAAAGCAACTGCAAGCCAATCCTCAGGAAAGATATTCCTGATCCCTTTTGTCCTTGGATTGGCGTGCATATTCAACGGTGTGCACTGTTCTTAATGCCGCCTAACCCTGGTTGTGTCCCGGTTAACATTTATTCTTTCCTTCTCTCGTAGGTATAGTCTGCTACATAGTGGAGCTTAGGCTTATGGTGCAACTAGCGATCGATAAAACAGGGCCTTCGATAATACGAAGGACTAAGTTACAGCCCAAGCTAGGGATTCTAATAATCAGCCAACTTGCCTCCTCGTCAAGCAAGTATCCTCTTCAAACATACGCTTCATAAATTCATCAAACGAAATCACTTTTGGACGTCTGCAAGAGATATCGACCGAAAAACCGACACACAGCTGCATAGTTGTATTTACCATCTTTTTTCGATATCAAGCGTCATCCGACACCGGAAAACAACACCAAGACGTCAAAACCTTCACTCCAACACTTCAAATCAAGATGTCTCAAGACAGTAAGAGGCCTCTAAAGGCAATGTTATCAAAGGTGGCGACAAAAATTCGGGATCTGGGGAAAAAAGGAGGGAAAGATGGTTCGGGCAAGCATTCGGGGCCTCGCAGGTCCGTGGACTCGTTGTTAGAAGAAGATAAAAGGAATACTTTTGCAAGTGCGCGGCGGCTCCGCAAAGCGGCTATGACTCGAGAGTTTTCTAGCGCATCTGGTTTACGGCGGTCCTGGCTATTTGATAGGCGAACAGTGGCCGACCTTACAGATTGCGCTTGCACACAGAACGAAAGGTAGGTCGGAGTCTGCATTTGGCTTTACTATAGTAGATATAGCTGACACCCTTGCAGTTCTAGGCCTTCGATCGGTGCCCTATTCTTCACGCTACCTATAGAATTGCAATTAGAAATTGTCACTAAGTTGATATATTCCGACATCATATCGCTCCGCAAAACCTCTCGCGCCTTCAATTCTCTCATTGTCACCCATGAGCATGAAATCGCCAGAAGACAGATCAAAATCTTTGTCGAGCCGAGATACGTTGCTCTCTACCCACCAAACCTCCCGAACAAGCCCACATTCGAATATCTCTCGAAGTTGGCTACTAAAAGCATAGCGGCGTCGGAGCTTGCAAAGGCATTAGCGACACAGCTATACAATGACTTCCACGACAAATACTTCGACTTTCATCCACAGAGTGACAAAGCCTTGGTTATAAGGTATATAACTGAGAGGTTGCGATTTTCTCTGATGATAATCCAGCACTTTCTTGAGCAGTTTGCCGAGCGCAAATTATGGCGTGACCGGGTGAACGGATATGCCTCTCGGGCGGACGATATTCAATTGCAAGAGGCGATACTGGAAAAATACTACACTGTTGATCAGGTCGCTGAAGCATCTGACTTCTACAGACTTACTCTCTACTTACTATGGCAGAATGTAGCGATGCCGGGAGACCACGAGAAGATCAAACGTATTTGGGCAATAGTTACGGATACCTTACCGGCGGTGCAAGATCTCACTAAATTCATGATCGTTGGCGGAATCCCGGAGCTTCGAAACGTATACCGCAAGCCAAAGCCATCTTTAAGGAGGAAGGCAATGTCGAGGTTCTCGGCGATGTATAAGCATGAACAGGCGAGATCCTCGAAAATGGGAACAACCCGGCTACCCAGAATATACCACCCATCGGAGAATATCAAAAGATACTCTACACTCGTAATTTCGCCAAACATATTTCATTTGTGGATCCACCCGGCCCAAAACGTCATGTTCAGAAGGGAGGTCATATCTGGATTGAATCAATTCCGGTGTATCGATGAGATCGTCGAGCACTTGTTGGACGGCTGGGAAGACTGGGCGTATCCCATGGATCTCCAGGTTTCCTATGACAGTGAAGAAGAAGACGACGACGGTGATACCCAAGTCAGGCACAGTTGCGGGGTATCAACAGCGGTAGCGGCATCCTGAGAAATTTCTTTCTTTCTTTCTTTTCTTTCTTCCTTTTTCTTTTTCTTTTATGAGAGCTCTTTGAGCAACCGAAGAAAAAATCGGTTCGGTCTCTAATTTTTGTTTGTTTGTGGAATATGGCGTACAAAGGCCGGAGAAATAACGGAGTGGCGTTTTCGTTCTTTTGTTGCATTTGCATCGGTCATCCTCACGAGCTATGGAACTGGGAGTAGTTTTTAGTATTGGGATTGCACAGCATTGGGTTATTTCTTTTCTTCCCAGCTCATGACCTGTTATGAACATTGGTCGTCATTGCATACATGGTACATTCGGCTCAATTGGTTTCTAGGGCCTTTTTTCTATTCCTTTCTTTACTAGTTAGAGATATCTGGGGGATGCGAGATAGCATCACCGTACTGGGGTATGCATACGTGTGTGCGGGGCAAGTTAACCTCCAGCTCATTGAATTAATATTCAAATTCGAATGAATACATAACAGTATCAGTTTACAGTTATTTTAGCCCTTTTGTTTGGGGGTCGCCGTCCCAGGATTCGATATGCTTATTCATGCTTTTCTGCTACCAGTCTGCCATCGATGCAATGAGGGTGAGAGCTATCGTTCCACGTAGTACAATCTGCATAATTTAGTTTTTATGCATGTCACAAATCACACTAATTGATGCAAAGAGCAGCGTACTATCGTAATTGACTTTCTGTTCCCCATCCGAAAGAAGTTATGAAATACCAATTGTATCGTCCGTTCGTCTGGAATTTCCATTTTGGATACGTTTAGAGTAACGTGTGAAAAAAAAAGTTTGAAAAGGATTTTAAGACGACGCGATGAAGGCAATTAACAAACTAAGAAAAAAGAAATAAAGCTAAGGAATAGTTGTAAAACTCTGTAATACAGATTGGGGGGGTTATGGGATTACAATTGTTACTACCTAATTGATATTATTCAACTAGTCAGACGCTGTGCATGTGTACTTAGGTACTTATGCGGACATCTGCGAGAGATAATCAATGTATGAGAACTACATATGTAGCTTGGAGGTTTCGATCGATGCCTTCAGCTCTATAGCTGCAGACGATTGTAATAATTATAATCAACGAAGGGCTGAAATACGAAAGGGTGGATAGTTACATTTTGGGAGTGACCTCGGGGCATAGTAATCCTGAGATTTGCAGGTCGCTTCGATTATCGATCCTGCATGGATGTTGCCGTTCTCGTCTCACAGAAGCCCCCTACTACATGTATAGTATACATACTACACAGGTATGCTGATGAATCTCACTGTCGTATCCCCATATGTCTGAGACCTCCAGGCGACTGCTATCTTTAGCGGATAAGGAAACGGAAAAAGTAATGCGCGTTCTGAATTTTCTTTCTTTCTTTCTTTCTTTCTTCCTTGCATTGATCGATTGATCCGGTACGGTGGCCGAGGGTTACCCCCAAAACTCGCCAGTTGTTACGTATGCTAGTAAAGTTAACCATGTAACTTACCATGGTAAGTGATGCTGTACTTACATACTTAGAGCATTGTGACGAGCACAGCTGTACACAGTACATTCTAATACATAAACTTTCGAGGTTAAGTGTGGGGTGAATGCTCGCTAGCACTAGCAGTGCTAGTAGTAGTCCGAGTGGATGCGTTTTAAAATTGTGGAAGCTCCAATTGGACATCACCAACAGCTTCACTGCGAGGTTTGTTGTGGGTGCAGTGTAACACGCGAGAGGAATGTGAACCCATGCATTGGATTGGTATCCTTGTTATCCTGATTCGGACCTCACCTGCAACACATTCGCTTTTGGAAGGCAAACTTGTACCTCACCTATACATACTACTCCAGGCCCTGGGTTCTCGCGATCACAACTAGCTGATCTAGCCCTGTTCTCTGCGTCCCGACAGCCTGAATTCGATCGCCGGGCTTATAGGATGCATTGTTATAATGGGAGTGGTAATGTCGTTTATTCCTTTATCCCTCTCGCGTGCTGCTTTGGTCCTTCCGACGGCACACGGCGACTTTCCCAGCATATGAAACTGGTGGATTCGAAGGCTTCCCAAGAGTAAGTGCCCCGCAATACGGCCATGCAAATCGACAAGGCTAACAATGTCACGCTACGGGACTGTAAAGACCGGTAGATTCTGTGCGTCCTCATTTCCTTTGACATTTACAAGTCAGGGAAACCATGGTCTTGCTTTCGAACCAGACAGAAAAGAATCATGTTGGATGTTTTTTTTCCCTCCTCTCACGAGGTTTATGGCCGCACTTTTCAGGAGACAATCGATCCGCAAGGCAAGTGCTTGTTTGGACCAGCGACTCCACCTAACAAAGTAAGCACCATCTGCAGGTAAAGCCCGCAGAGGATTGCAGCAGGTCGAGTGGATGGGGGTGGGATCCAGGAGTATGGGTGACCGGCATAGGTCTGACCACTCCTATTCGACAGGTTAGCCGGCCCAAAGGCTAGTTTAACCTGGCCGGTTGCTCCGGATTGGCTACTGTTCGTTCATTTGCACATGCCGACGAGCAAAACGGGCAATCAACTCATCTCGATTTAGCATCCAGCTGCTCAACTGAACTTAGTCGTTCGACTGTTCAACATATAGCATTGGCGGGATATAGGGATCCTCTAACAGATTTTTGACACCCTTATTCGGTGCATGTTATATAACGCCCGAAACCCCGTGCAAGGACTAAATCTGATAGAGGTCCGGTCATTTAGCCATTGAGGGACATGGTCGATCAAGCACGCAGAAGTTTTTTTCACCTGCGTCGACGCATGTTTTAAGTGACCACGGTGGATTATATATACGGAATATCCACACGACGAATACGCCTAGTCTCCCCCCAACTCCTTTTTTGCAACGCTACGACGGCGCAATTATCGTTTGCAATTGGAACTTCATCGAACGTCGGCAGGCAGGCCTGGATCATTGACAGTGTCAAGAAAAAGGCACAACCACTCAAGAATAGAGAAGAAAGAAAACAAAAGAGAGAAGAAAAAAAAAGTAAAATACAGAAGGCTCGAGCTCTTGTGTAGGCGGTTAAAGCGGCCCTCTGCGCCACTAGTCTTTCTCTCTGAATATGATCTGGATCTGACCTCATCTCCGACACTGTCCCGTCTTTTGACTCCTGAATTTTTTTTTCTCTCTTCCTCTTTTCTCATCCTTTTCTTTCCCTTCCATAAGATTTTATTTTTCTTATCGTTCTTTCTTAGGGCTTCGAGACTTAATTATATTCTGACTTTTAATTATCCCAGAACACTCCTTGCATTTCAATTTTGCATTTGTTTTCGGGACTCAGACTTCACACGGAATTAATGCCAGGGTAATTTTATTATCATAAGCCTCAAAAAAAAGATAGATAAAGACAGGCATCCACCCACCGCCCCTCTGATAAACCTTTTATCCCACTTTCACCCCTCTATTACAATCCTCGTCTCGCCAAAATATTTCAAGCGGAACGCGGGGGGTCAAACAAATCATGGCCCTTCCAGTCCAATCCTCAAGCTCCCTCAGCTTGCCTAGACGCGACAGCAGCCGAAGAGAAAGCGTCTCCCCATTCGCTGGTAGACGAGAGAGCATCAACCCATTTGCTAATAAACGAGAAAGCGTCTCACCCTTCGCTACCAGACGAGAGAGTGTAGCCCCTTTTCAAAACTTAGGCCGAAGGGATAGTACGGCTGTTGGATTATCGAGACGCGAAAGTACATCACCATTTCCTTCATTACGACGATCATCGACTGTACCTTCAGGAGCATACTCGAATATTCCTGTTGGACGAAAATTCAGTGTTAGTGCAATATACACTGGTGGCGATGTTTCGCCAATAGAGCCCCCCGGGGCTAACAACGATGATGTTGAAGTTTTATTCCATCATCCAACGCGAATTGTCTCCTTTACGATTTCGGAAGAAAAGTTGAAGGGGAAGGATGCCGTGGCGAATTATGTTCAGCCAACGGAAAGGACATTGAGTTCCGGTTAGTATTTGCGAGACATTTCCTTATTTTTTCTCCTTCGAAATGCATAAAAAAAATGTTTTGGGCAGAAGCCGTCTACCCCTTCTAAATTAACACTTATCGTTACGAACTGGGGAGGGGAAGAGGGTTCCAGACGATATCTCGGAGGATATTGATGCAACCCACTGCAGCCTTCCCTATGCATGCGCGCGCCCAAGGCAATTCCGGGGATCAAGACCGTATACTAACGGATCAATTCCTAAAATTGGATAGGCCCTATGAAAATTTATCGAGTTAAGTTTTCGACGGCATTTTTACAAGGTGGGCAATTGTTACAGCCATTGCTACCACGCAGCGCTTGCTGGTGTCTGGACGAGCGTCGTGGTATATTCGTTTTGAGGATAAGGAAGGATAACTATTATCGGTTAGAATTGCAAGAGTGAGTATAAGCGCCCTATGTTAACTAGTTAAATTAACATATCTATGATTGGTAATGCTAACGTTTACACTCGTTATGATCAATGAAGGGTTGAAGATGATTTATCGAAAGTCCACAGCCTCAAGTCTGTGCTCGACAAGCTTATCGTTTTTGAAAAAACCAACTGTCCATTCAGAACGGAGAAACAAGATGTTGAAGAGCCAGCCCCTCTGGCCGTCTTTAGGAGATCAAGTAGTGTCGCTAGCAGACCTAGCAGGCCTTCCAGCGCCCAATCCGACTATGGTGCTCCAGATAACGACAGCAGCAGTGACATCGTATTCCAGAATCCTGGATTCAATGCACCACCAAAGATCGAAATCCCAGCTTCTTTGCCAGTTATGTTTAAAAAGAATATCTTTGAAGACAAGCCCATGCTCCGAGTGCCTCGCCTCCAAGTCCCACAACCACATAATCTATCAGCAAGCCCAAGGGCTCTTAGTCCACTTTCCGGCAGGAGCCCATTATCCCGAACCTACGAGACCTCTCGAAGCCGTTCGGTTAGCCCACTTGCCCGAGAGGCTCCACATGATATGTTTATGATTCCCGAGCATGGTCCAGCATTACCCCACACAGACGACGAGGGGGCTTCCTCTGCTCAATCTGTAGGATCTGGCCCGCCATCCCCTAGATATATTCCAAGATCAGTCCCCTCAGATTATGCAAACTCTGCAGTTCCTTCAGTTTCGGACTATGCAAACTCTGCAGTTCCTTCAGCTTCAGACTATGCAAACTCTGCGGCTCCTTCGGCTTCGGATTATGCAATGTCTAGAGGTCCTTCCGACTATGGAGACTCAGCTACTAGCAGCCCGATCGATCCATTTTGCCTTTCGTATCCCGTCCCAGAACCTCGAGGACGTTCACCGGAACGAAAGCCAATGCAACTGCCAGCCGCACCACTTTCGGCTCTTTCTCCACCACCAACGGCTATTTCCCCACCACCTACTGCCCCAATGCACTTCCTTCGCCCTCCATCTGTAGTTATTCAAAACGCAGACTCCACTGACGACTTCGAAATCGATTTCCTCGATCTCGGTATCCGTCATGGTCCGCAAGTGCATGAAGAAGTCCAGGAAAATCCAAAGCCAAAGCCAAAACCACAACCATTGGAACAACTTCATGAAGAACCTCGAATTGAATCAATCGTTCAAATACGCAGCGATGTTCACGAGAATACAAATGAAGTACCTTCAATCTTTGAACCCCTCCAAACCATCCAAGAGATCACACTCCCTCAGATCCGCCCCCAAACTCCTCTTCCATCCCCCCCTGCTACCCCACCACTTTCCCACTCGGCATCAGATTCTGAAGCCGAAGAAATCATGGAGGCTGTGACCCCAGAATCCAGCTTCCGCCGAAGACCCAGCGGCGATATCTCAAATGTGTCGCTACGACGGGCATCAGAACCCATGGCAGACACAAGCTCTGTTATCATCAAAGATAACGATCCAGATACCATGACGCTGATGACCATGGATGACGTAGAATCTGTTGACCCGCTCGCAGGTCTCAACATGAGTCTCATCCATCGTGTCAACGAAATGCCAGTTACCAAGGGACTCGGCCCAGACGATTACGAACCACTCTCCCGCTCCGGCCGCCGTTTTATCCGCTCGATGGATCACGAAGCTGCCCGTGGCATTTTTGGCAAAACTATCAATTTGAAGATCCACCAGCCTTCTGGATTTTTGTTAAAATTCATGCTACGTGTGGCAGACAAGCTTATGAAGGGAGCTAAGATTTATGTCTACTATTGGGGAGACTGGAAGAAGGGCAAAGTTAGGGGCAAAGGTGGGAAGGTCAAGGAAGGCGGTAGCGTTGATTTGACAGACTCTTCACCGATCTCACCGCAGGATTATGAAAAAGTTGGTCTGTTGAGCGATGAAGATGATTACGGTGTCAAAATTTCGAATGAAAATGCCACGGAGGGGAGGAAGAGGAGGCCCTTTTCTTTTGCAAGAAGAGATAGTGTCTGAGTAAGCAAAAAAAAAAAAAAAAAAAAAAAAAAAACAAGAAAAGAAAAGTCAAGGCCAGTGAAATGATTAGGTTCGGAAAATGAGTTAATGTGGATGATTGCAGGACGGCCGAAAAGACGATGAGTTTTTCCCTTTTATTTTTAATAACATTTGATTGCAATTTCTGATGCTTAATTACGTTTTTGCATTCTTGATGTTTTGATGTTGAAACGTTTTTTCCTCCCTCTTGATCTCCCCTTTAATGATTGCAGCCGGGTGATTCGATTCTACTTGTTACTTCTACTGCTGCTGTTGGCCGTTTCCCTTCCCTTCTTATTCTCATCCTTTTTTATTACATTTTTCGCCGTTTAATTAATACTATTGAACGGCCGGGCTTTGGATTACCGGTGTTCTGTCTCTTTGGGTTTTATTCTTTTCTTCTCTATTTCTCTATTTTTCCTTAGACGGACCCGGCGACATGTCTGTATGTTAGTTATACCCGCTTGCTGCTTACGAACCTTGATTTTGATATGCACACTGTACATTTATCAATTTGCAAATGCGCATTCTTGACCAATTCCTTCTGCGATGTGATTGAGTTCGAGTATTTATCTTATCATTCAGTTTATAGAATAGCACCTCACTACTATTACTACGCTTGCCCTTCTCTATATATCTTCTGCGGAAAAAAAGTATTTAAAGAGTCATCAGCAACAATATATACGTTTATTCATTAACCTTTATCCCCCCCCTTGCAAATCCTGTTTTTTGGTTTGTTTGCGTAGATATCGACTCCCACTTCTTCGGTTGACAATATATGGCCAACCGAATTGCCATTCACAAGATGCTATAATTACAAAGATATGAAGAGAAATCGCCCCGCCGCTGGAAGCCTAATCAGCTTTATGCGTGGATGGCCTTGTCGTAGGTAGCCATAGCAGCTTCCTTGAATGCCTCCGACAGAGTTGGATGAGCTGTAAACATCGATATTAGTATTCTACTCTTCCAAACACAGGGGGCTACACCATCATCCACAGTCTTGAGACTCACCATGACTTGTTCTTGCGATATCCTCGGAGCTAGCACCGTACTCAATAGCCAAGACACCTTCCGCGATCATCTCGCCGGCATTAGGTCCAATGATGTGGATACCCAAAACCCGATCTGTTTCCTTATCGGCAATAAACTTGACCATACCATCGGTCTCCAAGTTTGTCTTAGCACGCGAGTTCGCCAGGAATGGGAATGTGCCGACAACGTATTCCTTTCCGCTAGCCTTAACCTCCTGTTCTGATTGTCCGACCCAGGCGGCTTCGGGGTGGGTGTACATGACCGATGGGATGGCGCCGTAGTTGACGTGGCCGTAACCCTTCTTGATGAATTCAGCGGCAGCGATACCTTCTTCTTCGGCCTTGTGGGCCAACATGGCACCGAAGGTTACATCGCCGATAACGCGGATGTTCTCATGCTTGGTGCGGTATTCTTGATCGATGATGATGCGACCACGTTCGTCGGTTTCGATACCAACGTTCTCGAGGCCGAGACCCTCGGTGTAAGGACGGCGACCGATGGCGACGAGAACAACGTCGGCTTCGAGCTGTTTAAGCAAGATTCGTTAGGTATATTCACCCTCGGCGGGGTTAGATAAAGTACTTACGGTATCCTTCTTCTGGTTCTTGACGCTCTCGATTTCTAGCTTGACACCTTCGCCGGAGGCATCACCGGAGAGAACCTTGTGGGAGGTCTTGAACTTGATACCTTGTCTGCCGAGGATTCGCTGTGCCATTTTGGCGATATCAGCGTCCATACCTGGACCACCGATAGCATCCAAAAACTCAACAACGGTGACTTCGGCTCCTAATCGCGACCAGACAGAGCCCTGCGAAGCCATAAACTGTTAACTTGAAAAGCTACTTTGGAAGTATATATCATGAGATTTGAGAATAATACCATTTCAAGACCGATGATACCACCACCGATGACAATCATCTTCTTTGGGACTTCAGTAAGAGCGATGGCCCCAGTGCTGGTAATAACTTTCTTCTCATCGACCTCAAGGCCTGGGAAAGGAGTGGCCTCGGATCCGGTAGCAATGATGATGTTCTTGGTCTTGAGCGAAATCTCTTCGCCACCATCGATTGGCTTGACCTTGACCTCATTTTCGCCGGTGATGGTACCGGTTCCTTTGACGTAGTCGACGCCGTTCTGCTTGAATAGGATTTCGATACCGCCGGTAAGGCCCTTGACGGATTTGTCCTTTGCAGCCATCATTTGATCGAGGTTAAGGCGAACATTGTCGACTATGAATACATCAGTGATCTGGCCGTCTGTTGTTATATTGTTGACTCTGGGTAGAAGCTAACCTTCGATTCCTCGTTGCTTGATATCATGTTTTATCTGGTGGTAGATATGGGAGTTGTTAAGCAGAGATTTCGAGGGAATACAGCCGACGTTGAGACAGGTTCCACCGAGAGCTCCACGCTTTTCGACACAGGCTGTCTATTGTTATATATCGAAGTTGTTCTTTAGTAAAACCGTCCCCCAGACGTATTCTGATTGATATCAGAGCTTAAACGTGAGCTAGTACCTTTAATCCCAACTGCGCAGCTTTGATAGCAGCGACATAACCGCCTGGTCCACCACCAATGACAACGACATCGTGTTCTCCAGCTATATACCCCCCGGTATCACGTCAGCTACCCGTCCGTTGCGATGGTGTTTCCCTTATCTCCTAAATAAAAGAGAAAAAAGAAGAGGTATTGAGGATTTCGACCACGTACATTCGCTAGAGTAACCTCTTCGGCTCTGTCTATCGGCGATGTAGAATGTCGAGGGAGACGCGAAGCGCGATCGAAGCGGCCGTAATACCGACGATGCGGCCTGTCTTTGAACGGTCTTTAACATTGTAAATGGAATGATATGATATGGATGGTTGAGGCTTTGTGTATGACGTCGAGATGGGGTTTTCGGGGTTTCGGATAAATGTATTCAACAGTTCGTGGGGGGTCAGTACTACGGTAGGTGTACTGAAGTTAGGCCGTCGAGAGGGTGAAGTCTCAATGGATGGCCTGTTTTGATGGAGGAGAATGAGTATGAGGAGGAGGTTAGGATAGAGAAGGGGTGGAATGTGGTATTCTGGAAATATAATTGGGTTGGGGACGGTCCGAACAGGGGAAAATTAAACGTTGAAGTTTCGCTTTTTTTCGCTCTCGAGCTCTGCTGGGCTGGGCTGGATACAATCGGCAATCCTGACCGATGCAGACTTGCACGTACATGCAATTGATAGGTACTTATTGGCCAAGACGGTATCTCTATTAGCTTACAATCATAGCTTCAAAAAAAGTACCGCGATACGGCTGCAGGGGCCAGGCCTTTATATCGCTCACTATTCTATTGTTTCGATAAACATAACTCAGTTTGCCAAAAAATTCCTCATCCTCAAGATATTTTTGGGATAAAGGAAATAGATATTTACTGCTGGTATCGGCCTAGCCGGTGGGCTGTGGCAGGTGACTCGGAAGGAATACCGCCCCGGGCAAGCGAAATTGAACGGGAGGAGCACCTTCGGACCAGTCGGGATGTCCCCGGGCTGGCTTGCGAGACCGATCCGATCCCGATTATCCGGCTTCAGAGATTTTTCAGTATAAAGTACTTATATGCTTAGGTACACTCCGTGAGTCTCCGTGAATAATCGATAACAGACTGTGTACGACCGTAGAAAGGCTATTGTTTTATGTAATACTAACCTCAACATAATTAGCTAACATTTGGCTATGTCTCCGTCGAAAGTCCCAAAAACTCTATATCTATCGTAGCCTCGGCCTCATGACAAATGAATTATAGTACAAAAGCTGTATATTACAATATCCGGTTCATACCCAGAAACTTCATTAATCCAGGACTATGCTCGTGGGCGGCGGGCGTGTACCTAAAACTAAGTCAGGAGTGCAGGTTATGACTCCTCTGTTCCATCCAATATCGCCCTTCTGAGTACCTCTGCAGCGACCTCGCATCCCTGCTTCACTGCCTTCTTCTCCTTCTTCCCATTAGTAATATCACTCCCCGCCACATTCTTCTTTAGAAAGTACTCCAATCCTCTCGAAAGCGATGGATTCTCCGCCGTTTCTCGAAACAGCTCTCGAAGCCTTGATTCCCGCTTACTTGAAGACCCGGGATACCTCTCCATAATCTGCGAGAATAGTGTAATAAAGAATACCTCCAAGAAATTCTTCGTACTAGGCTGCACGGAGACTAGTTGTAGCGTTTTTAGTACCTTCAAGGATAGTGATCTATGTGCCACCAGGTATCCGTAAAGTTTGGCCAAATTAACAATCTTCCTAAGTGGCATGCCATCTTCGTCCTCGTCCATAATATGGGACTCGCCGCGGTTCATGTCATCTTCTTCACCCATCTTCCGGAAAACCTCCCAAAGACTGAATTGGAATGCCATGCGGAGAGGGTGTTGTGTGCATAGTTGCTGTGCAATAAGCGCATAGTATGGGTTATACTGTGCTTCGTTACCGCAGCAGTGTAGGAGGACGTGGGGTATTTCCCGTTCTTGATTCTTCTTGAGACGAAGTTTGAAGAGTTTCTCTCGTGCGTCGGTATAGTCCTGTCGACGCTATTAGTAATTAATGTGCAAAATTTAGAGAAATAAAACCGTACCCCTGCATCCATAATAGCGGTAAATATCGCTCGACGGATATCTGTGTTCATCCGCTGTTCTCTAGCCAACTGCTGGTAGTTTATGATATCATCCTCAGAGTCCGATACTGCAGATGCAGCCTCTTCTTCGTCTCTCTCGTTAACCTTCGGCTCGTCTTCAAGCATGTTATTCCTCCAGCTAGCCCCAACAAGCCACCATTTTCCTTTTGTTTCTACTTCTCGAATATCCTTGAGCGAGGGTCGAAGAGGTTCAGTAGCCCGTAAAGATCTGCTGTTCAGGGTGCCCAGCGTCTTCTTCATACGGACGATAGCTTCTGATGCTACAACGGAAGCGTCATTTGTTTTTCTCGCCTTATTATTCTTTAGATTTGACAAAGTCTCGATCATGAACTTGAATCTTGTGCTTAATTTATCGGTACCGACTTTGGCGACTGAGACATTAAGCATAGATACGATATCCTTTAGAGCTGTTGGATCGTCCTGGCGCAGCTGGGGTCCACTACTCCTTACGATCTTTAGTAATAGCTCCGCATTTAACTCAGCGACTTCAGACGTAAATATCCTAATAACGTCAAACACTAAGCTTGACCCAACAACCCCAAAGTTATAGAGCTCAGCAAGTAGCGAAACAAGATCATTGACTTGCTTCTTGCTGGGGCTTGTGGATGTGACTGCCGGGTCATCCCCCAGCTTTACTGTCTCCCCGTAGGACTTATCAAAATCTTCAACTAGATTTTGAACAAAATGTGCCCCAAAGTCTGTTCCCAATATCCTATACAATGCGGCTATAAAACCACCGTACAACGTAAAAAATGTCTCCCTTGTGTTGACTTCGTTGGAAACTGATGCTAGAACCAAGGTTGTCAGTGTCGACGTGACACTCTGCCTTGGGTATTCACGATAGAGTTCCTCGATCGATTTGACGATTTGTAGCATGCTTTGTTCTGTGAGACGGTTGACTTGGCCTTGGATCTTCTTGCGTAACATATCATCTGTGGGCAGCTCGGCGAGTTTCCTTCGCTGGGCTGGGGGTATATATTTTGTTGGTTGATCTGCTGTGATGGCAGGTTTTGTGGGATCTGGTTTTGTAAGCTTAGCTTTAGGCGCCGGTGGATGTGAGTCTCCTGCATCGTGGTCGTCATCATCTGCGTCTGATGAGAAGCCAGACCAATCACCTTCAGCATCCTCCATATCGACGTCCTCACTTCCCTCATCCTCAGAACCGGATATATCACTATCTTCAAGCATATCCTCGTCAGAACCCTGGAAGTCCTCGCTCCCTGATTCACTCATGTTTCCACCATGCTCTTCCTCCTCATTCCTCTTCCGCTTCTTGCCCCGCTTTTCGGCAAGATACTGTCGATCATTCTCGAGTTCATCATCTTCAGAATCGAACCCATCTAAGAGCCAGTCTAGATTATCCTCTTTGAAAGCAGTGGGCAGTTTCTTGCCCTTGATGTTTAATTTCTTCTCGAGAGCAGCGATTTCAGCATCATCTTCGTCAAGTTTTTCGGCCACCGCTTTCCGGATAACTGGTTTCGTAGTCTCGACTTTCTTTGTAACCTCCACCTTCTTCGTCGGTACTGTATCGTCTCTATCGGTCTTTTGCGCTAGGTTGGGAGTCTTTTTTTTCAGGTCGGAGGGTTGTACTGTCGATTTATTTTTAGAATACGAAGGCTCTGGCTCATCGTCTGATGATTCCGAGTCGCTGGAACCATCTGCCTGGTGGGAGAATCGAGCATTGTTGTGTCTGGCCTGTTTTTTATCTAGGCGCTGTTGCTTGCGCCGGTCTTTTCGGCCTTGCTTCCTGGTGTTCTTGAGCGACTGCCTGCTCCCGCTGTTTTTACTTCCTGTATGCTATTAGTAAAATCTTTGGAGATAGATATACTTGACAGAAAGTGAATGAGTATACCTGAGTCCTGAATCTGGTCCAGGATGGACTTTGGCAGTCTAGGCTGGATCCCCTTCATTGCATTGTTATATCGAACTTGGATTGGTCGCAGAGGAAGAAGAAAGAAAGGAAAAGTTGGGATGTTGGAAAAGTTGTGCAACTTGACGGGCAAGCAGAGCCGCATTGTCGCTTAACTTAGCTCGCAACACAGTCTTGGCATCGAATCCCAAAAATTGCTAAGACGCGACGTTCAACCGCAACGGCGTCAACACCAAACACCCACCGCAACCATCGCCACGACGACTTCCATCCCCCTCCATCGCCATCTCCTCGAAACTCCATCGCATCTTGCCGGATCTGCTAATTGACCCTGTTTAGGGCATCCAAACGCTCGCTGGGGGCTTCGTATCCTTTCACCCGCTCCTTCTGGCTGGGATTGTGCTGGTTCTCCGCTGTGTTGCTGTCGACACATTCAAGCTTTAACCTCGCACAATGCCGGCCACTACTACAACACCACGCACATCGGAGCGAGCTCCTGACGCCGAATTGGCGCTCATGAAATCTGTTCTAGATACAGTCATCTCGTATAAGGATGAGAAGTAGGTGTCCCAGATGATGGCCAATGGGTGGTTGGTTTGTGGTGGTGCTAATGTAGCTGGTCTGCTCTTTCGCAGTGAAAATCCTATCGCCGAAGTTTTCATGGACGTCGTCAGCCGCCGAGCTTTCCCGGATTACTTTCAAATAATCAAAAACCCCATCGCTCTCAGAAATGTTCTGGTAAGCTGCCTGTGTTTAAGTTTCGTGATCCTTCGATGTGATGGCGATAGATAGCTAACCGCGCTGGTGGTGTTGGTAGAACAAGCTCAAGCAGAAACGATACCCAAACTTCAAGACTTTTATCAATGATTGTGCTAGAGTAAGTTAAATGCTAGCTGATAGGATCTGTCTATAATCGAATTGTCTATGATGCTAATTGGCCATCGAATAGGTCTTTCACAACGCCAAGACGTACAATCGCCCAAGTTCGCAAATCTACAAAGATGCAGTTACCCTCGAGGCAAGTCGCCCGAAGATTCTCACTCTTTTTTGCGTTCTCTGCTATTAGACTTGAATGGGATAATCTCTAACATCGTGGAATTACAGGGTGTCCTGCTTGAAGAGCTCAAGAAGCTCACTAAACTAGAGAACCCGGTTATTACGGAGGAAGAGGCCGTGCTCCCCGATCTTGGCCCCTTGCCGACCACTGACTCCGAAGGCGAAGACGAAGAGGGGGGAGGAGATGCTGAGGCCGAAGAGGAAGACGGTTCGAACGATGGCTCTGGCGACGACGAAGAAGAAGACGAAGACGAGGAAGATGAGGATGATGAAGAAGCTGAGGATGAAGACGAAGAGATGGAGGATGCTGACGCTATAAAAAACGATCCCGATAACGGAAGCGAAGACGGTGCTAGCCGTACCCGTAGATCTAGTCGACGCTCGGCCAAGAAAATTACCGATACTGGTGATGATGATGATGACGACGACGACGAAAAGAAGCCTCGTGGTAGAAAAGAGCCCAAGCGCCGTGGTCGACCTCCTCGTGTCGATGCTCCCTTTGAATGCCGAATCAAATCCATCCTCAAAGGCATCCGCAAGTACAAGACCGATGATGATGGTCCACGTCATGCTGCTTTTGAGAAAATACCAGACCCAAAAATCTCTCCAGAGTACCATCGCGCTATTGAGAACCCCATTGCAATCGATACTTTGAAGGTAGGTTGTTTCGCATGCGTGCATGAATTTCTTAGCAAGATGTTAACGTGTCTACTAAATAGAAAAAAGTTAAACGTCGCATCTACCGAACTGTTGAAGAGTTCATGGATGATGTTTATCTCATGTTCGACAATGCCATTCTTTACAATGAAGATAATTCTCAAGTTCACAGAGACGCCATTTTCCTCAAGGTATTACTGAATGAAATCGTTGTGCGCTGGCTGCCGATTTACGGTTTTGCTGACGGATACTATTGCAGGCCGAAGCCAAGAAAATCTTCGATCTCGAAATGGAAAAGGATGACTCTAGCTATATTGATCCAAGCAGCAAGAGCAGTTCTGACAGGGATCCGGTCGCATTCATAGAGCACAACGGCGACACTTTTAGCATCGGCGATTGGATTGAACTTGTCAACCCACTTGACGACAAAAAGCCGATCGTCGCTCAAATCTTCCGTACATTCAAGAAAAGATCCGATGGGAAACTAGGTATTAACGTCTGTTGGTATTACCGCCCCGAAAATACCGTTCACCGTGTCAATAAGAGATTCTATGAGAACGAAGTTGCCAAAACGGGACAGTACCGCGATCACGATGTACAAGATATTATCGGTCGATGCTTTGTTATGTTCTACACCAAAGCATCTCGTGGGCGTCCTATCGGGTCACAAGGGAAAAACATCTACATCTGTGAAGCTAGGTATAACGAAGAGAAACGATTGTTTAACCGCATCAAGACCTGGAAATCCTGCATCCCAGACGAGATAAGATCGCGTAAAGACGATACAGAATTGTGGCAGAAGCAAGTTCCACTCAAAAAGTTCACATCTCCAATCAAGCATCTCCTCCCCCCTGACGCCAAAATGGGTGATAAGCCACCTACTGCGACCTGGGTTCGAGATGATGCGCCTCCTCAAGGAGCTGTCTTTTTGGGTGAACGCCGTTCCGTTGTAAGTTTGCCCGGCGCCTGCTGTACCTGCTGTGCCATATTAGGGAGTATTTATGCTCATTTACTAACACATCTTCCACAAGGACTCTCCTTCGCCTGAGCCAACACCACCTCCCAAACCCAAATCGCCCACCCCGCCGCCTCCACCACCACCTCAGGCTGCCCCTGCCACTCAGCCTCGCCCGCAGAGTACTCGACGCACGACAGTCGCACAGCCAATAATGACACCGGCTCCAGTCACGGCCCAGCGCCAGATTTATCAGACTCCGGCACAGCTGGCTCCAATGCCCAGCCCATACGCGCAGTTCACTCCGCAACAGGCGCCAGCTGCGTTCTACGCGACTCCCCAACCGCAGTATCCTCAGACACCCTCTTATCCCCAGATGCAGATTATGGGTGTGCCTGGACCTAGTCAAGGGCACGGGCAGATTCGCCCACAGGCTGATGTTGGCTCGGATATGCCTGGTGACAATAATGCTTTCACCATCAATACCGCTTGGACATCAAAGGCCCTCTCTCACCTTGAAACTCGAAACGGGGTACCAGTGTTCTTTTCGGGAACTCCACAAAACGTCTCCAACACGAAAATAACTTTCCAAGGCTGGGGCTCCCCTTTCAACCAAGGCCCTGGTGTTCCACTGCGATCTCCATCCGAGGCCCGCTGCCAGGCTGCAACTAGGCGCATCCTCCAAGCCGATACAAACGGCATTCCATTCGATGAAGACCAGAAGTGGGCTTGGGATGATGCGACAAAGACCCTGAACGAATTCACCGAAAGAGAGCATGCAGCTGGAGCAAAGGCTCTAGATAACCGCCCTCTTCACGTTGCAATGAAGGCTCCTCTCGAGACAGCTTTTGCAAAGCTTCTGAATACGAAGGAGATAGAGACTGACCTCTACCCCAACGAAGAGGTCCGCCACTACAGAAGCCTCAAACGCAAGAGGGGAAAGGAACCTGGTTCTAGCGATCATTAGTTCTTTTTCTTTCAATACTCGTCGGATAAACGCCCCTTTATTCCCTTATTTGAACGCCTTTCGACCATTTAACGTGCACCCACATCCCCCCCAAACACCTTATCCTCCCTCAGTGACGAACCTTGAACCACTCACCGACTCACTCCGAAGCTCAGACATGGCCAGCTTAATATACCACCTCCACTACAGCATCAGCGATAGGCGCACCTCTGCATATTCCCGTTTTTCTTTCTGTATCTCCTCTTCATAGGCTGACGCAGATCTTAGGTGACATCTCCTTTCTTTTTTCTCTTTTCTTCTTTTTCTTTTTCTTTTTCTTTTTTTCTTTTTCTCTTTCTCTCTTCTTTCCCTTGTTTGCTAGATTCAGGCCTCGGGTTCTTTCTCTTTCCCTTTTTTATTTCTCATCCCTATGACTTTTAATGAGAACAGTGGACTCAGAGCTGAACTGAGGGTGCTGGGCATCTGTATTATTATCACCACCTACTGCTCAAGCTCGACACTACCACATCATTTTATCCGCTCACCTTTATTCCCCTTTCCTTTTACACGAGGCTGCACTCACTCTCTTATCTCGTAATACGATTGACCACCAACACGGGAGATATACTACATTCGAAGCCTTCAGATCGACCGTTTCTACTAGGTTCGGCATACCCCCTTCAGAACAGGTACCTCCTATTTTACGAGCAAAGGAAAACATCTCGAAGGCTACAAGCTACGTTACTACCTAGGCAAGTATTAAGGGGGTATCTGATCTAGATTATTCTTTGTTGTCAATGCATGTATGATAACAAGGGAGAGCTATTAAACAGCCGAACAATGACATAGAAACCAATAAAATAAAATAAAATCGTTAAAAAAATGAGAAGACCAAGAAAGGATGGCAAGTCAGATTTGACTGCCGCCCTGTCTCCCTTTTTTCTTCTGTTATCCTGATCGTGACAAAGAGACCTCGAGTGTACACTTTTGAACGCCTATTATCGTAACTATATACCCGAAAAAAAAAGAAGAAGAAGAAGAAAAACGATTCCACGTGATAATAAGGGTGCATGAGGAAGTCAAAGAAAGTTCATGAGATGGGAATATTCTATATTCCCGTGGGTAGTATTTAAAATGGAAGGTTAACTAAACCAAATTATGGATCTATTAAAGCTTGATATGCTTAGGCAGGCTGCTCGTATGCTCTTCGGATGACTCTCGAGAATTCTATAATGGGTGAGTTAGTATCAAAATGAAGGTAGCTTTATGGTGCAATCATAAATGTGGTAGTACTTACGGTCAATCTTGACGCTCTCCCTTGTGATTGTAGGCTTAGCCTCATTGTCCTTATTCAAGGAAATGATAACAGTGTTTCCGTCAATCTGATACCCGGCAACGGAAGTTACGAATTCCTCGAACTTCTCATCCCGAAGGTTCAGCCAGTCCTCGAGCATTGTTCGCTCGATCTCACGCATCGAGGAGTCAATGACACCCGGGATTCTGGTCTCAACATCGGATGTGTCAACACCGGTGATTCGTCGTCTGATGGTGTCTTCGAAACCTTGGACGTCGGCTATTAAATCGGCGAAGAGGTCATCTGAGTCGAGTGTATTCCAGAACTCTTTGAAGTTGCAGGATTCGAGGAGAGAGTTTAGGGTTGTGAGTTTTTGGACAGCTTCAGTGAGTTCGGTGGCATTTGGGATTGGGGGGAGGAAATTTGGAGGGAGGAGGTGGCGGCAGAGGGAGAAGTCAGAAGAAGGGAAGGCTGTGAGAGCTTTGACGAGGATGTTCGTGATGGTTTCGGAGTTGGTGAGGTGGGGGTTGAATTGGTATCTGGATTGAGGGGGAGTAATCGGATTAGTATATCACCTTTAGATCTCTTTAAACGCAACGGATGATATTGGAGAAAATTGAGCAGATAAGATGCAAAGTATGGTATCAGATAGAGCTAATATGATTCGCTTCAAAGGCCGGTGGAATCGATTCATGAGGTTCCGGTGGTCTCAGGTAATAGGAAACGTGTATGGTATTGTTCATCATGAAAATTTGCAATCTTTCTCGACGGACGAGGTTCCCTCGATTGTGAGAATAGAAATGAGGAGAAGGGAGAAGCTTCTTACAGTTTCAACAATGCCAAGTTAGCATAGCAGTCGTATGTGCTATCTTCACACTGTTGTGCCACGTATTCTTGGAATATTGTGGTGGTCTCTGGGTTGTATCTGTCGAGGCCATTGAGGATGGCTGTGATGTGTTCCGGCCGCTCTTCGGCGTAATCGAAGGAGCCCATCTCGTAAGATATTTTTCGGAAGAGCGAATCTACGCTCTTTCTCTTTCTCGAAGCAACTAGGCTTGTTTGGGGGGAGGTTGTGAGAAGTGGATGACAGGATGGATGGTATTTATGATGAGGTTGGATTGTGGGGGAGGGTTTGGACGTTGGTGAAAAAAAAATGATTTGTGTGGTTTTGCCGGGTTGCTTTTGGTCAAGCTCGAGCTACTATATGGGTATAACTATAAGCGAATCATATGGCGCGGAGCTTCAAGACAGCCGACTTCTACACCAAGATTCGTGCTAAGTTGCAATTGTCATTATCAATCGATATGTATATTCTGCGCACATCACGAGCATATATCATATATCATGATGTTACCGAAATATAAGGGAAATGTGGGAGCTTGGCGCCAGAATCGCTCGAAAGGTGTCGATGTCAGGTTTATAGTATCGAAGAATACACTAGGAATATTATGGTCTGGAGGCACTAGGAATACTAGTAGATATCATACAACATGTTGTCAAACACTCAACGGATTGGACCCAATAGACCCCCTTCTACTGCTCACATTGCTTCCTCCAGGGGACCCAAGAGTATCTCCCGTTCCAAAAGCCTTGTTCGTAAAAACCACAAACGTATCAATATCCCATAAGTCCTCCAGCTCGGGCGCTAACTTATCCGCCCGTTCGTAGAAACTTTCATAACTCTGAATAACCATCTCCTGAACAGCTCCGACAAGCGTTTCTCGAGTCCGGATGTCATTTATGTATTCGTTTAGCTTCTGTCGTAAAATTGGAACATCTGATTCCGCAAGCTTTCGTAGTGATATAGTCGCCTCCAGAGCTTCCGTTCCTTTCCCCGCCGATTCAACAACTGGGCCACTGATCTTAGAGGCCCAGGCTTCGGTAAATTGGTTTATTACGTTTCGCAGTTTCATATCTAGCTCCTTCAGGCTCTTAGTTAGCTAAGGCTGTCAGGAGGAAACACCGTTGGGAGACGTACCACTTTAGCATCCAGCATATTTTCCACGACTTTTGGCAGCCCCTTCTGCACTAATTTCATGAGGCCATTCGGGCTAAATAAACTTTCCGTCTGTCGAATTTCCCAGAAGGTACTGAAATCAAACTCAACCTCAGGTCTAACATATTCGATGTCGAAGGCGACAATTTGTTCCTTGAGAATAAGCAAATGTTTCAACAAGAAGAGTTGTGAGTCTGTGTCGTTCTTCATCCTTCGTATTTGATCTGCTGCTCTCGACAATGACCCTATACACACATGGACAACTTGGTGGGCTAGGTCGTCGAATACCGAGGACTATATGCACTATTAGCACTAAGGTATGACAACGAGTTTCGGTTAATTCCTACATTGACAAGTCGGTATATCCGTGACAGTAGCCAGATGGATTTCCGCAGGGATGGGTACCACCCTTGGAATACTGCATCTGTGTCGAACTGCGAAGGGTTCTCGCCTTCCATGGGACTAACAGGATCGAGAATCTTGCCCACACGAGGGCTTTTAAGTGGGGTTTGTATAATTTTGTTTCGTTCTGGGTAATCAAGGTCCTCTGGCTTAGGCATAAAATTTTCTATATCGTTTCGGATGACATTCTGAGCTCGAAAAATGATCCTAGCCTGTGCATCATGTAGGGGAGATTGGACCAGGCGGCCAAAGTCAAGTTGTGAGCGGTCATAGGATTCCAGTTCAGCTAAGAGGGTTAGCAGTGATCGTAAACAATGGTTTCCAAATGGCTATACCTTCATCACTGTCCCTCATGTATCGAGATTGGAGCAGAGAACACAGTTCGCAGAGTTTGACAAGTTGCGTCTCATGCATAATTCTCGGTCGAAGGTAGTCATATAGAGGTTCGCTTATTGACTCGAGGTAGTCACTACGTGAATTAGAGAGTAGGTTAGAAGGTAGCAGGCACCCCGGGATTCAGAAGTCTTACTATAGCTGCTGCTCTCCTGATGAGAAATGGTTGAAGAACAATTCATACTCGTCAAGGCAAATACTCCTGATATATGATATGCTAACTCTCGCGAAGCCAACTAGGTCTTTGTTTGACGACATATCCCGCATGCTCTTTGTCACGATGGGAAACAAAAGCCGCTGCCGTGCACTGAAGTAAAAGTTGTAGCATTCGTTGAGTAATGAGAAGTACTCCTCGTGGCCACATCGTTTTTCGATTTCGTCAGCTAGTTCCCGCAACTGATTTCCACCAACGCGGAATTTAGCATAGAGTAATGCAGTTTGGGTCGTATCGTTAACACCCTTTGCGACAATTCTCTTGCCCACATCTGCAGCTACATCTCTAAGCTGCGCCGTGAAGTGGACTTTAATGAGAGTTAGGGCTCGTGTCATAAGTTGACGGTATCTTGACTGGTAGAATTCGGCATCTTTGAAATTTGGCTATGGATTACCACTATTAGTTAGCTACTTAGGTATTTGATCTTGCTTGTACAGAGAACACATACGTGGGCTGCCACATAGTCTAGACAGCTATCCAGTTTAGAAAGCATGTCCCTAAAATCCGGTCTTGTAACGATCGTCGACCCTGGGGCGTTTAGGCGCCTTGTTATGCTTTCTAACACACTAAATGGCTCTAGATTTGCAGTAATATCGTCTGCAAGTTTCGATAATCGAGATTGTTCCGATAAGAGTTCCTCGCAAGCTGCTTGGAATGTCGAAGTCTGCTCCCTAACAGCCTCGAATCCTTTCGCTAAGTCGTCGAGGAGCGTTACCGTCTCTTTAGCTTCGGACAATAAAGAATCGCATGTATATAAATGTGACTGAAGGCGAGTTTGGAACACTCTAGAGTGAAAAATAAGTTAGCATAGTCGACCACCAAGTAGGCATGTAGAAGCATACCGGAACTGTTCATCTGCGGCATCCTCCAACTCTTCCTCATATTTTTCATACCATATCGCAAAGTCGAGTTCATTATCCAGCTTTAGCCCATCAATCGTACTGGAGACTTCCGTAGAATCAATGCTGGTGGTCTTCAATCCACCAGCAGAGCTTGGACGGGGTGGTACTTCGGCCTTAGGGGGTTCATCGTGTTTTCGAACCAGTTTCGCAGCTACTCTAGGCTTTCCTAGTTTCTTATCCACCAAATATTAGCCCCATGCTATATGCTTGAAGTAATAACCACGAGAATACTTTCGTACAGTACCTCACCTTCAGGCCGGGATGTTAATGGATTGGATTTGAGGGGCTTTGAGGTTTTCTGTTGCACTTCTTCGGCGGCTGCCGCATTATACCAGTGGTCTTCGTACATTGTGCAGCCGTATTCGTGATTTAGTGTATTGTCAGAATCGAATCGGTTCTCCGAGGCGCGGTTTGTCGGCGAAAGCTAGCTTAATGTTTCGGCGGGGAGTCGCGAGAGAACAGGTCGCCTAAGAAGGAAGCTCACGTGACCTTCAACACATCCAACGACGTCAAAATTGGTCGATGCAACAGAGGCTGGCCAATTGCAAGGCCTGGATTCAAAACCTCGATCATATCTCCAGACTTCCTAGCTCAGGTAGATATGCGACTGTGAGAGCAACTCACGCTCTAACCGCTATGCTTTCGACTGGGCCTCGTGCGTCCTTACGCACGTTGTCACACATCCGACCCCAACTACGGTTTACATATGGAAGAACTAGAACTTCAGCTATCAGACCGATTCATTCGCAAACATATTCATCATCGACAGGAAAATTAAGGATTACGGGAGCTGCATTGGTTCTGTTTGGTGGTGTCCTTGCTTATCAATCTCTTGCTCATCCAACATTGAGGTTGGATGCTCTGGCAGCGATACCTGAAAAGAAATCGAGAACGATCCAACATGAACCGGTATGAAAGTCAAGCCCGTTTATAAGACGTAGAAAAGATCGCTGATATTTATTATGATGATATTATAGGTAACTCGATTTTGGGAACGACCTGGAGTATTCCTGTGGGGCTCTAACAGGTACTAAACTTCCTTGTATCATGTTAATCAAGCGCCCGGCAAAGTCACTAAGCCAACCAAGTGGTCGTGTAGCATCACCGGATTCCGATGAAACTTTTGTCAAGGCTCCAAGGAGGGTTCCTTTCTTCGATGGCTATGTTCTCCGGGATTTGCAACTTTCACACGATATGGGAGGTATGGCAAACACAGAATGACATACTTCAAGTCCCAACAAGAACTAACGTCCTAAAGTTGCCGTGCTGGAAAATGGAGATTTAGTGCAATGGGGCAAAGGTTATACTCCTGAATGTAGGATACCAGTCGTCACATTCGAGGGTAAAGATATCGTCAAGGCCGGCTTATCGGAGGATCGCATTGTCGCTTTATCGTCATCAGGGAAGGTTTATTCCATTCCATTTTCAAAGGAGGAGCAACAATTATTTGCAAAGCCTACTGAGTCGAGCGGGCTACCTTTTTGGAAGTCTACCTCAGAGTCCAAGACATCATATCGGGATTTGACACCCGCAAAGGAAAAGTACGATTGACAGCAAGTTCATATGGATATGTTGGCTTTTTATGAAAAATAACAGCTAACTGGCTACCCGTTATAGAATTGTGGATATAGCCGTCGGTCATGAACACACGGTTATGCTAACGTCTCGTGGGAAAGTCTTCACTGCCGCTTGTGCTAGCTATAACTTTCCTTCAAAGGGTCAATTAGGGATTCCTGGGATGTCCTGGGAATCTAAGCCAAAGCCATATGATACCCCACAAGAAGTAAAAGACTTGGATAAATTTCAGATAACACAGATTGCGGCGGGGAACTACCACAGTGTGGCTGCCGATAAAGAGGGGAAGATTTTTGTCTGGGGTGATAACACCAAAGGACAACTTGGCCTTGATTTCACTGAAGATTCTATCCCCAAACCTAAGTTAATTCCGCGAAGAGCATTCTACAAAGGTGACGGGATCAAAACAAAGCTCCAACAGATATTTGCGGGGGGGTATAACACATACTTCACCATGGAGACTCATACGCCGAATGAGGATTTCAACAAGCCAGCAGCCCAAACCTATGATGTATTTGCCTGTGGTCATGGCTTACATGGCTCTTTGGGTACAGGGTTTTATGCGCACGCTCAGGCAGCTCCTCAGAAGGTCAAATCAATTAGTGGTCTTACCGAATGTAGGTCACTTCCAGATTTCCCCTTCGATTCTCACGACTAACTTTTCCAAAGATAGCGAGAAGAAGGCAGGGCTTGTGCCGATTAATACATCTTACCTAACAGTGGGAGGATCGCATACCGCTGTAGTCATGTCGAATCAGCAAAACACAAGAGCTAGCGATGCTGAATTTGGAAATGATATCTTGTTCTTTGGCGGAAATGAGTTTTACCAGCTTGGCAACGGAAAGAGGGCGAATCAGAATGTCCCAGCATATATCTCTCCAATTGATTCCGGTAGCGGGAAAAGGTCTGATGAAAGGTTTCAGGTAATCCCGGGGAAGAAGATCAAATTCCTTGACCAGAATTCGAAGAGCCGGTCGGTCAAGATCGAGCAAAGAGTCGTAGCTGGACGGGGATTGACAGGCTGTTATGCGAAGACAGCTTAATTAACATCATTAACTGAGCTCAGCTGTGGGACTTGTACCTGTACATAGTATGTATATTATATTAGTAAGTAGTGTATATTAGTATTCTATCCGAGGCTACTTATTAAACAAGGCGATAGAAAATCTAATAATCCAATTGAATCCCTCTAAGATGATTATTGTAAACACTAATGGCCACCTATCTATAAGGCCGCTTTAGTTGGCGACTTTATAGTTCTTGTGGATCGTAAGCGTCGTTCATTGGCTGGCATAGTGGTCGTGTGAGGCCATCTGACATCTGCGTTGTGTGTCGTTGGCTGGACAAACCAAATCGGGCGGGTCGGGTTTCTCGCGTCGTCGCAGCATAACTCCAACGACCAGTTCTTTCTTCCTGACTTCCCTTATCCTCCCACCAGCCATCATCAACCTCTTCTTCATCGACATTCATCACCATTGTCGCTCCCCCAAACATCTTACAAACAATAATCCCGTCTTCAAAATCACGTTCGACGACATTAACATATTCGCTAGATCAATTCGCCAGTTTTTTTGTGTGGCTTCGACCGTCACCAAATAAGGCATCGCTCTTGTAACGGCCTGAGCTTTGGGAGCTGTTGCACTCGCCCGCATCCGCGTTCATTGCATAAACTATTGTGACACAACTCCGACGCCGTATGTTCCAGAACTACGAAATCCCGCTAAATCCCATCATTACCCTCCTAGTACTTGTCACTGACATAATATCTTCTTCTTCTTCTTCTTTTTTAGTACCGCCCGGCTACCACTTCTAGACACTATCGCTTGCGATTTGTGTCATTGTTATCCTTTCTATACTCGGCCCAGCCGAACAGCTCATCTGTAATCATCGGTATGGCTGGAGGCGACGACGCCGAGGCTGCCTTTTTGAAGGCTATGAGGAACGAGCAAATGGAAAACACATCGTCAAACCCCCCCAACGACAGCGGAAGCCCCTCCGAATCTCACGATACACCTGACACACACCCCGACGACGTGCTGAAAGTCGACTTCGATGATGAAGATGACAATGCTCCGCTAAATGAGTCGCCCTCAATCTCACAAGATAGTACTCCAACCGGAAGAAGCAAGGCTAATGAATCCGCTCAAGACGAGGACGCGGTTACTGCTACTCTCGCCATCCCGGCGTCATCAGCCTCGGCGTCTAATTTTGCTAGCGGCGAGACTACGCCTGAGACCCGAGCGGAGCTCAAAAGCGTCGAACTTGCTGGACCTTTTGTAATAGAGACAGAGGAAGAACAACCTATGGTTATTCCAGGATCTAATGCACAGAATACTACGTTGACTTTACAGAGCAATAATAATAACATCGAAAATGATGAAAAGTCGACCCTCTCCGGTTTGCAGCCGGCAGCGAACTTTCCTAATGTACCCGTGCTAAATGTACCTGATGATGTCTCTCGTGTTACGAATGAGCCCATAACTACCCAATCGTCCCAACAAGGAAAGAAAAAACGCCTAGCCCACGATGTTGTCGGGAAGCTCGAAGACAGAATTTCACAGGACTCTCGCGGTGACATTGAAGCCTGGACCACGCTTATCAACGAACACCAAAAAAAAGGAAAATTTGAAGATGCTCGCGCAGTTTATGAAAGATTTCTGGTTTTATTCCCAACAGCGGTAAGTCTACATTTGAAGCTATAGTAAAATTATAATTTCTAATTTGATTTACCTTAGGCCGAGCAATGGATCGCCTACATCCAAATGGAACTAGATGCAAACAACCTATCACATGCCGAACGCTTGTTCCAAAGGTGTCTCCCAGGTGTCCTAAACGTAGATTTGTGGTCCCTTTACCTTGACTACATCCGTAGGAGAAATAACCTGGCTACCGACACGACAGGAAAGGCGCGAGGAGTCATTACCCAGGTTTACGAGTTCGTTCTTAATAGCATTGGGATCGATAGGGAGGCTGGTAAGATATGGCAGGAATATATCGCATTCATCAAAAGCGGGCCTGGAACAATTGGTGGCAGTGCGTGGCAAGATCAACAAAAAATGGATCACCTGCGAAAAATTTTCCAAAGGGTAATTTGTATCCCAGTCAATGGTCTTGAGGCGATGTGGAAAGAGTATGACCAGTTTGAGATGGGTCTGAACAAAACAACTGTACGTTTTTGCAGAACTTCCCGCTGGATTTATGGATACTAACTTTAAGTCAGGGTCGTAAATTCATTTCGGAAAAGTCACCAGCTTACATGACTGCAAGGTCATCCGGATTGGCGCTCCGCAATACCATTAATGGCCTAGTACGAACAACCCTACCGCGGCTACCGCCAGTTCCTGGCTTTGACGGTTATGAAGAATACACATTGCAGGTGGAACTTTGGAAGAAATGGATACAATGGGAAAAGGGCGACCCCCTCGTTCTTGCCCAGGAACCCAACCCTGAGGATCTCACTGGCTTCCAAAATAGAATACTCTATGTTTACAAACAAGCGCTGATGGCCCTCCGGTTTCTCCCCGAGATGTGGTTTGAGGCCGCCGAATTTTGTTTTTCGATTGGGCGCGAAAAGGAGGGTGTGGATATCCTCATGCAAGGGATGAAGGCGAACCCAGAGAGTTGCTTGCTTCACTTCAGGTACGCTGAGTACCTTGAGTCAAGTGTCCCCGCTCCTCCAGCGGAAGACCGAGATGCTGTCAAGAAGAGAAGCGCACCTGTCCGAGAGATTTACGATAAAATCTTGGATGTCTATTACAATTTGCTGGGGAAGGCGCACGAGCGTGAAAAGGAAAACGTGGCTCTCTTGGAAGAAAGTGTAAAGAAAACGAAGAACAATGCTGACGATGACGACGATGATGACTACGAGCCACCATCTGACACTAACGTCTCGAATCAGATAGCCATGGTCAAAGAGGCCGCAAAGCAGGAGACGAATAGTATATCTAAGATAATTTCAGCAATATGGATTAACTTAATGAGGACAATGCGCCGCATCGAGGGACACGGTAAAATTGGAGATATTATTGGAGGATCTCGACAAATATTCACCGATGCTCGCAAGCGCGGTAAAATCACATCGGACGTCTACGTAGCTAGCGCGTTGATGGAATTCCATTGCTACAAAGATCCGTCCGCCAACAGGATCTTTGATCGTGGCCTCAAGATGTTTCCGGAGGACGAAGAATTTGTGCTTGAGTACCTCAAACATCTAATTGCAACAAATGACTTGACGAGTAAGTCCATATCACTGTGATATCATTTATAAGATACTAACCATTAATTCACAGATGCAAGAGCCGTATTTGAAACGTTTGTTGGAAAAATAACTGCGGAGAAGGCTGGTAATGCAAAGCGAGTTTTCCAGTTCTTCTATGACTATGAGTCTCAGTATGGAGAACTTAGTCAAATTCAGAAACTCGAGAAGAGGATGAGGGAATTCTATCCACAAGGTATGGTGAAATCATTGACTTGTAGCGGACTTAGCTAACATTCATGGCTATCTTACTAGATCCTCAGTTAAAAATGTTTTCAGGAAGGCATTCGTACAAGCTTCTTAACCCATCTTCGTTCTCTCCTATTGTTTCTCCGACCCAAGTTCGTCCGAAGGGGTCTGGCGCACGACAGCCTGTGGCTCTACCTGAAAGGTCGCCCAAGCGTCAAGCCGAAGATTCTGACGGTGATGTATCGAAGAACGAACGGCCCAGGAAGATTGCTCGTGGAGAGTCTCCCATCAAAGGGGCCGCTGGTCGCCGTTTAATGGATCAGCAAAAACGTGCCGCTGCTGCTGCCGCGAATCGAGAACAGGAGGGGCGTCATAATCAATCGCACCACGGGAAGCATGCGTCGATTTCAGGCACACTTCCTCCGCCCCCCTCGCTGCCTGACTCAATCATGTATCTCCTCAGCATCCTGCCGCCAAGTCACACCTACCGGTCCGTTAGATTCAATCCGGAAGAGATTTACAAGCTGCTCGCTAGCATGAACTTGCCTGCTCCTCCATCAAGTCAACAAAATGGTGTGTCTTTCTTTTCGTCGCCACCTTTTCACACATGGCTTCAGGCAATATCTACAAACCAGCATCATTTCAGTGCCTACGATAATCATTTAGGTGGCCTTCATACTGCTAGCGGTCTGCCCCAAAGGGGACCATTTCAACCTCAAGGTCTCCTAAGTGGGCATGGGCTGGTTAATCAATCTTTTCAGATGCCTTATACACCGCTTAACCATATGCTGCCACCATCTCCGTCCGCCGCTAGTGGACAATGCCCTCCCCCTTCTCCTCCCTCTTCCAATAATAGCACCCAAGAGGCTCTGAGAACTCTCTTTGAACTCCTTCAACCGGGGCCAAAGTAGGGACCTGCCCCTCAATACACTAACATTATTGTATTCGACAACATGGGAATCTTTTTTGCCTAGCTATGAACCATAAACCCTGAATGGCCATTCAAATGATGCTAATACTTTAAAACCATAGTTCCGTTGCCATACTCCCGGTAACGATCCTATTTATATTTCTATCAGAATTCCATGAACTATCCGATACCCGCGGTACTCGCCACCCCTCTATTCCGACTTCGAATTCACCTTTTAGACTAGCATCTCACGATTACGACTTGCATCACCGGCGTTTTATCTAATATTAGTCGAAATTATCCCACATCGTTGATTTTTAGGGGGAAACACAACGGGCTTGATTTCTTTCTTTAATTCCAGTCATCTTATAGTATACGGTCAGCATCCTCGTCGGATTGAAAAAAAAGGCATTTCACGAGCGTTATGTATGCTATCATGCGTGTAAATTAATATGTTATCAACTCAAAAGTTAATCAAAGGGCTTCTCACCGCGTTCTGTGATTTCTGTATTGACACACTTATAGCTACTACGCGTCCTATTATATATTATACCAGTATTTCGGAAACCAGGCTACGTACATGTATACATCTACGTATACAATATGCAATCACGATTTGCAATATTTGTCATCATTCGTTGCCTACTCATTCGTACGATCTTTTAATTGTAGGTGCCCCCATTAATATGCTTTCTATAACATGACATCAAACAACGTTACCAAGCTTCCCAGCCATGCATCATAGCCCCAAGTTTAGATATACAAACGCTCCATCAATCCGGAGACGAAGTTTTAAACACTAAGATTTTTGTGCAACCACACAAACACCCTACAGCCATTGGTTCCCTGAAATTTATATAAGATTTATAAGAAAGATAGTCGGCACCGGTGGTGCTGCTCAAATCAGCAGGTTTTATACTCGCTTATGATAGGTCGAACCCGCCTCCCGTCCGTTTTCGAATCCGCCGGCATTCTTTAGCGGCGCTATCATCCAACCTTGACGATGTCAGCAAGCTAGACATCAACCCTCCACTTCACTCGCCACTGGCCCCCTGCTAGTACAACATATGACCCCGCAAGATCACTAGAAGCTCAGTGCTATCTTGCCTGATCCCGAGCCAAGAGACAAAACTTGCCTGAAGTACTTTCCAGTACAATCCCAGCGCTATAGTTACAGGCCCATTTCCTCTTGCCTCTCTCCCGGCCACAAGAAGATTAACGAGTCCAACTGGAGAGTTGGACCTCATGATCCCAAATTGGAGCTCCCAGCTTGGAGCCAACATTTGAGATGTTTGGCCAACTTATCAGGCGTCATTATGCATGCATGGACAAGTCCTGACCCTAATCGAAAAATTGGTTGTGAATTTGCCCGGTTCAGGGATTGTTTACCTTGACATGATAGGTTTTTTTTTTCCAAACGCACAAAAAGGTCGATTTTAGTCTAGCTCTTGTTTCTTCAGGCAGTTTAACTCGGTCGTGCTTGACAAGATTCGAGATCATACGCAGATTCCACATGCATGAGGGAGGAACATAAATACTTAGTATCCAAACCCCACATGGGGATGATGGCGGTACCAGGGAGTCTCTCTACCAGCATAATCTTCCGCTTCTGCTGAATTATCTACGCATAGACATACATACTCTATTGCGCTTATCGATCAAGTGAAGGATTCTCTCTCCGCTTTCTATTCTCTCCCGTTTGCACGTTTGTGGCGAGGCTGCTGAAGTTCGAGAGGTCAGACATCAAAATTCCCGCTGGTAAGTAAACGATCCCCGATAAACGACGCTTAGCGACCCAGTAATCGCAAACTCACAAACAATGGAGTGTTGAAGCCAATTGTTCCAATTGGTCGCGATTTTGTCCACAACTTCAAAAGCGGTTGGTGTAGAATTTGAGTAGCTTGCTAACTGGGGTACTGGGCTAGAAAAAGAATATCTCAAAGGGTTCGCCAGCAAGTAGGCCTCCTTTAGATTCAATTGATTACATCTACAGACATCTCTTCATTTTGCAAGACTGTTTCCAATTCATCTGGTAGTCGGTAAGTCTTAATTGATCGCACGAAGTTCTCCTTGCGTGCCTTTTTGTTCCTACCGCGAGTTTTTTTTCTGCCCCTAGGCCGTGGGACCCATGTCTCCCGCCGAGTTGCTTTTTCTTAGCAGTAACTATCCTGTTCGTCGGTTTGGTAATTGTCCTGTTACGTTTTTTTTATCGAATTCTTTGCTTGTTACGGAACCTCGAAGAACCAGCGTCATTGGAGTAACGTTCTTCCGACGGATGGCTGCTTCTAAACTGTTGGCACAGAGGTTGGACTTCAAGCTCGCGAGCTTTCCACGAGTTTGCCCTTGTGGGCCAATTTTGGCTCAAAGTCGACTCAGGTCTACCAACTTGTTCATAACATCAGGAGCAATGAGGTGCCCTTCAGTTAGTCGATAGAACGGCGGGGGTGCAAATATTTCCTCAAGCTCATAGACGCTACCCACTATTCGAGTCCCTGTCCGTGAACGGATGGTTGGAGTGGTCGAGAGTGTCGTTCTTACTGCACCTTATTGTTTGGCAGGACCTGATACGCGCTAGTCAGCCAGCCGAAGGGCATATAAAAGCCAGACCCCTGTTTGTTACAACAGTGCCAACACATCTGTGCCATCAAATCGGTTTCATAGAA